CCTCAGGCTGATGAAGTCTCTGGTTTATGTGACCCTTTCTGTCTCTTGGGCTAATATTTTCTTTGTGTCTCTGGTGTTCTTCATTCTCCCTTATTCCAGGTGGTTGGGACCAATTGATGCATCTTAGATGGCTGCTTGCAAGCTTTTAAGACCCCAGACACCACTCACCAAAGCAGGATGCAGAACATTTTCTTAATAAGCTTTATTATGCCATTTGACCTACATGTCCCCTAAAAGCATGGTCCCCAGACCCCTACCCCTGCTACTCTGCCCCTCAAAGTGTGTGTTTCTATTCAGGAAGCTTCTTAGCTTTGGTTTAGTCCACTTGTGCTGACTTCCCCCATCGTGTGTGCTGTTCTTTCCTTTACCTAAGATAATTCTTATTTACTATCTAGTTAATAACCCTCTCCCTCCCTCCCCACCCTCGTAACTATCAAAGAATGTTTTCTTCTGTGTTTAAACCTTTTCTTGAGTTCTTATTTTATACAATATTTGTCTTTCTGTGACTGACTTAATTCACTCAGTATAATGACCTCCAGGTTCCTCCATGTTATGTTTCACGGCTTTGTCATTCTTTATCATTGCGTAGTGTTCCATTGTGTGGATATACCATAATTTGTGTATCCATTCGTCCATTGATGGGCACATAGGGTGTTTCCATCTTTTTGCTATTGTGAACAGTGCTGCAATGAACATGGGTGTGCATGTATCTGTTTGTGTGACAGCTCTTATTTCTCTAGGATATATTCCAAGGAGCGGGATAGCTGTATCCTATGGTACTTCAGTTTATAGCTTTTTAAGGAAGCACCAAATCAATTTCCAAAGTGGTTGTACCATTTTACATTCCCACCAACAGTGTATAAGTGTTCCAGTCTCTCCCCAACCTCTCCAGCATTTATTATTTTGTGTTTTCTGGATGAATGCTAGCCTTGTTGGGGTGAGACGATATCTCATTGTAGTTTTGATCTGCATTCTTCTAATGGCTAATGATCGTCAGCATTTCTTCATGTGTCTGTTAGCTGCCTGAATATCTTCTTCGGCAAAGTGCCTGTTCGTATCCTTTGCCCATTTTTTAATTGGGGTATTTGTCTTTTTGTTGTTGAGGTTTTGCAGTATCTTGTAGATTTTAGAGATTAGATGCTGATCGGATTTGTCTTAGCCAAAATTTTTTTCCCAGTCTGTAGGTTGTCTTTTTACTCTTTTGGTGAAGTCTCTTGATGAGCATAAGTTTGATTTTTAGGATCTCCCATTTATCTAGTCTCTCTTCTGGTGCTTGTGCATTGTTACTTATGGTTCGTATTATGTTTATGCCATGTATTAGGGCTCCTAGCGTTGTCCCTATTTTTGATTCCATGGTCTTTATTGTTTTCGATGTTATATTTGTCTTTGATCCATTTTGAGTTATTTTTTGTTCATGGTGTGAGGTGTGGGTCCCTGTCAGTTAGGTCTAGTGCCTTTCTTCTACTTGAAGGTCATCTAGTGTTTTATTTTGGATCCCTACTGGAACCATCTTGTCATGTTTTTGTAAATATTTTGATACTGTCTGCTGTCTGCTAGGCATTCAGTGGTTATTTTCCTTGTTTATTGATTGTAGATTTGTTGGTTTCATCCTGCTTTTTTGTTTTGTTTGGTTACGTCTGAGCAGGTGGGCTGTGCCTTCTTTGTTGTTTGCTCGTCTGTGGGCACGATACTGTTCACCTTCTTCTCCAACGGGCAGGGTCAGTTACTCAGGTATGGTACAGCAGGGCAGGTCCAGCTGAAGGGGAGTTGCTGGGATGGGTTGTTTGTGACACGTACCAGGGCTGACGGTGCAGACTGGGAATCAGTGCAGGGCAGGTTCCGGTAGGCCATGCCTCTTCTGCTTGGGAATGTGATGTTCAGGGCACAGAGCAGGTAGGCAGGAAGGAGGGGTTAGATTGTGATTTGTGGAGCTAAGATGGGCATGGGCAAGATGATTGATAGGAGGGAGGAACAGGAGCCAAAAACATACCCACAAATAAAAAAGAGTGCTGAGGGAGCTTGCTATTGGAGTGGAAAGATGAGAGACAGAGAACTGGGGAAAAACAAAAATAAAAAAAAAGGGTAAAATTAAAAAAATGAATAAATCGAGAAACTGGAAATGAAGAAAGACAAAAAGGGAGTAAGAGAGAAGAAAACAAAACAAAGGAACAAAAAACAACAACAACAACAAAAAAACAAGAAGAAAGAATTGCCTCCAGGGATGTCCCTGTGTGTCTGTGCAGAGTAAGGGAGTAGCTTCCAAGTCATGCGGTACTGCCCGACTAGAAGGGGCTCCCAAGCCGAGGAAAGAAAAAACAAACAAATCAAAACAGAACAAATCAGAGCAAAGAAAGAAACAAACAAGCCCTGGGGGTCCCACTAGCATGGCGGCACGGGCCAGGAAGCAGTTTCACAGTCGAGTGGTGTTTCACAGCCTTTCAGGAAGAAGCAAAGATGGTGCACATAGCCAGGTATTAGAGAGAAAGGAGGGGGAGGTTGTGAGAGGTAAGGAAGAAATCTAAAGAAGTGGAAAAAAGCAACACCATCAGCCAACAAAAGGCGTTCAGGGAGCCAGCCAGTGCAGGCGGGTGGAATCCAGGTGACACCGGGGTGAAGCTGGTGCTTCCTGGCCTAGAGACTGTGGCTGCAAGAAGCAGAGGAGGCTAAGTGGGGGTAAAGAAGGGTGGGGGGTGGGAAAGCCTGTATCGCTGGTTACCGGTTGTTATGTCTCCTGCTGGAAGCTCCGTGAAGCTGTTTTTCTGTACCCCCTGTTTGCTGATCTCCAATAGGAGTCCAAGATGGCAGATCCATGCTGCAGTAACTGATGGGGGACCTCTGCATGTATCTCCTTGCTGTCCGTTCTTGGTCAGTTTCTTAATCCATTCAGTGCTTGGCTGAGTTCTTTATCTCTTCATTTGATGCTTAGGGTTTCAGGATTGATGTGTGACCCTGTTTGACGTAGTTTTTCTGATCTTTGCTGCAGAGGGATGGCGTGGTGCTTCTGACTATAGCATCATGTTGCCCGGAAGTCCCTCTATAATAGTTTCTTGATTGTGATGGTGGTGGTTACACAAATCTACCCAAAAAAAATAAAATCCCACTGCCATCGAGTCGATTCCAACTCATAGTGACCCTATAGGACAGAGTAGAACTGCCCCATCCAAAGCTGTAAATCTTTACAGAAGCAGACTGCCACATAATGAAAGAAACCGTACTCAAAAGGTACATACATACCGTATAAATTCTTTTATATGACAGTCCGGAAATAGCAAAACTTTAGGGACAGAGAACCTATCAGTGGTTGCCAGAGGTTAGGGATTGACCTCACAGTGGCAGCCCTAGGTAGTTTTTTTGGATGATGGAATTGTTCTGCGTTTTGATGGTGGTGGTGGTTATACAATTCTGTGCATTTGTCAAAACGTACAGAACTGTACACCAAATCAAATTTAGAAGTTAAAAAATCAAAACAGGAAACTAATGTTCAAGTAGCTACACATTTCTAAGAGCTTGCCTTTTAATCACTTTGAGGATTTTCCAGAAATTTCTAAGAAATGTTTTTTTTTTTTCCCCAACAGGTGATGCTATGAGCGAAGAAGACATGCTTCAGGTGGCTATGTCCATGTCTTTAGAAACGATTAGAAATAATTTGGAAACAGAAGGAGAAAAATAACAATGCCTTTTAAAAATCCTTTAGATTTTCATACTTTCCAACATTATCCTATGTGATTACAACATAGGATTCTTTTCAGTAATTTGTCAAAGAGAACAGTGTACATCAGAGGAAATAAGACTTTTAGGGTGGTTTGCAAGCAAAATGATGCAAAAGTGGAAAAATGCATCAGTTGTAGAACTAAATAATGATCCTTCAAATACTAGCGAAAGAGGTATTCAGCAATTAAAGAAATTTGAAATAGTTTTCTAAATGTTCCTTTTTCTTTTTGAGTGTGCAATATCTAGCATGTCTAAAATTAGAACTTTTTTCTTGGATCCTTTCGCAGACCAATTAATTAGCTCTTGCCACAGAACTTTTTCCATGCAGTTTTGTTTTATTTTTCTATATTCTGTGTGGGTAATTTGACTCACTTTCACCATTCAGTGGTTGTCCTTATTTCTCATTAACTAAATTGACCTTTCAGGAAAGTATCTCTTGTCTCTGTGATAGTAATGGTTCCAGGGGACCATACCATTCTCCCTTCAACCATTGTGCACTTGGGTGTCTTCTCCGATTACTGTCTCTCATCACAATTTCTCTGCTACCTGGTTTACACTGTTTCTATACAACTCTTTCGAAAGATGATAATCTTTCTTTCTTGAGGATTAGCTTGTTAAACCCTCTAAGATGGGATCATTATTTCATGAATCTGGTGCATTCCTAAACTCTGAAATCAGTCCCGCACAAATATCTGAGACTAAATGAGTATTTTTTATGCGTGAACATGTGATTTCCCAGACGTTGTATGAATGCCTTCTCACCTATGGCAGAACTTCACAGCTTTGTTGTAACCTCTCTCTCCTTGCACCTTATTTCCTTTCTTCTCCAATTGAGAAAAAGGAGAGAAGCATAGTAGGCAAGAAAGTTTCCTTTTCTTATAAGACAACATATGATACCCACCATGAATGTATGACAGAAAAAAATAGGCCTTCAATTTTAGTAGCGGTTTTCATTTTATTTTTTCTCTTGTGTCTGGACCTTTCTGTTCTGTTTCCAGCTGAGTCATATGGAATGTAGATATCTGCTTCTGCTGCACATCTTTTCATAGGAATAGCTTGCCAGAGGTAATCTGGCCCATAAAAATAATTTACTAATGAAAATATATTTAAATTTATACTGTGATTTGACACTTCCATCATGTTTAAATAGCTTAAGAATTATAGAAGTCAGATAGAACTTAATGGGTGTATAAATAAGAAAGTCCTTAGTTTTGATAAACAGTCTTTAATAGGGATTAACAGAGTTTCTAGCTGGGTCAATAGAGTGGTATAATTTTGGTGAAAATTGACAATGTCTCTGAGATGGGCGTTTAGATTCTGTCATTTGTTCTCCACCCCTCACTCTCCACCTCCTTTTGCAACTCTTGAATGTTGTATGGTTCACAAGCTAAAAATCAAGAAGAAAAGTCATTTGACAACTTAGAAAAGTATGGTATGTTGCTGTGCTGGTAGATGGCTGCACACATTTTATCAGGGAAGTTTTTTTTGATCTGGGATTTATTGCTAACTAAAAAGAGATGAGAAAATGCCTTTTATTTAGGATTATAAAATAACTTTTTGGAAAAAACAGGTTTTTTTTTTGTTTTTTTAAGTCATTATTTTGTGCCAAATAAAGTTTTCTAGTTTCCCGTACAAAAAATTAGGCAGTCTTGTTTTAAAATCTAAAGTGTTCTTTTAAGAATTAAAAATACTTCAAGGAGTTATAAAATACTAGAACTGCAAGTGGTTGTGAAAGTTAGTACTATTCCCTCAAGATTAACAAATCGAAATACTTTAAGACTGAACATTTCTGTTATTATCCCAACGATACCAATCATGTTGTCCATGGATATTTAGCCTTTACCTTTTCCCATTGAAAAAATTACATGAAACTTTTCATATACTTGAATTGATGAGCTACCTAATATAATAATGTGAAAACTAATATACATAAAAGTTTGAACCTTAATTAGAATTTATAAAGTTCATATATTATTACCCAGTAACTTTACACACCCTAGTTAAAGCACTTAAGGAAATAGGGCATTTTGGCCTTAATTTATTAGGGATTTTTTAAACAGAGCTGAGCACACACTGGATACTGTTGAATATGTTTGTTTAGTTTGTTTTGAAATTGTTATATTTGGCAGGCAGATCCAGAATCACTAGTGACCTGCCATCTTGTTTGGAATGGCTTAAATTTAAACACTTAGATTTCATTGTTTAATTGATTGGATGGTATGAAAAGATGCCAGTGCCCATAACCACAGTATCAGAAAATTACAAAGTTATACAAAGCTACGATTCGGACATCAGGAGCTGCCATTTATGGTAAACCACCTACAAGAAAGTCAGAAACAACTAAATTTCACAGTAACTGTCCTGCTAAGAACTTTGTAAGGATTTCCATTCTGTTTTACCAATTGGGAAAACCTTAATGTTTAATATTTAAACTGTTGGTATCATTTTTCTAATGTATAATTTGTATTAACAGGATAAAATACGTACAGTGGTGGTACTAGTGTTTAAGTAAAGTTTAAACAAGCTTTAGAAATACTTTCATATTTTCAGATGTTATGGAATTAATAGGTAGTTATTTATGTTTTAAAAATTCAGAGCAGTTAACCTCTGATCTAAAACCATCAATATACATTTTTATGGTGATGAACATGAATATTTCAGTAATGTAAATTGTTTGAAAAGGTTGCTGCAGATAAACTTTATATTTCAAATCTAAGATCTTGGCCAAATAATTTACAATTCACAGAGTATTTAAGAAGGTGCTTTATTTTCTTTAAAACTTGATTTTTCTTAATTAAGGCTTAATTTGTGATGCCAAATATGTGATAAATTTAATGAGACACAAAGTTCAAAACTAGTTGAGTATCATTATACACATTGCTGTCAAGTGGATTCTGACTTACGGTGACCCTATAGGACAGAGTAGAATTGCCCTGTAGGGTTTCCAGAGAGCAGCTGGTGGATTTGAACTGCCAACCTTTTGGTTAGCAGGCAGATGATCAACCACTGCGCAAAACTAATAGTCTGTATTGTTTCAGTTAATATTAAGCTGAATAAAATAAATTTTATTCCAGTCAGAGCCTACATCACATTTTTAATGTCTGCATGTTTGATACTCTTCTTTAAATCTTGTCAAGGTTTACAGAATGCCTTAAAATTGACCCATTGGACCTGTGCCAAGTCCAAGAAAAGATTGATTCAGTTTATAGGCAAAATATGGTGATGATAATTGAAAAATATTAAATTGGAAGATAAATCTTAAAGTTCTAAATTCTTAAGAGGATTCAGTTAATACTGATGACTTTCTGTTAAAACCTTTATCTGCAATTGGCCACTGATTTCAGAGTTAATTGGTTTTTTGTATCTGCGCCCTAACAAGTATGAATATGTGCTATATGTGACCTTAATTAAGAACAATCAAATTGGACCAACTAGTCATTTCAGTGATATAAAGAATCATTTTCCATATTTCCAAAATAAAACTTTCCTTCATTCCTAGTCCCTTTTTAACCAGTATCTTTTGCTAAAGAAACAAACTGGCTTTTATTGCTTTTTAAAGTCTTATGCCTGTTGTTGTCGAGTCAATTCCGACTCATAGTGACCCTATAGGACAGAGTAGAACTGCCCTGTAGGGTTTCCAAGGAGCAGCTGGTGGATTTGAACTGCCGATTCTTTGATTAGCAGCCAAGCTCTTTACCACTGCAAAAATATTTTTTGTTCCATTCTGCTTTCATGAATGAAAAGATTATTGAGATGGTTGGTTAATTTGAATTTGATGATTTTCTTTAATTGGAAGAAAATCTTTGTTATTTTTATTTTTTCCAAAATGGACTGGCATTTTAAGAATTAATGCTAGTAGCATCACTTCTAAATTTACAGTAATTGGCATGTTTAATTAATGATAGTGTATTTCAACAAATATTTTAAGACTGGATTCATAGACAAAGCAGTAGGAAGCATCAGTGAAATATATGTGGAAAATTCTGATTTGTTTAGGAAGCACTTCAGTTGTCTCTTGCATAGTTCAAAGGGTGAATGTTTTCCAGGAAATTTTTAATGCTTTTTTTTTTTTGAAAGAGGAAAGTGTACATTTGAAATGAGATTATCTAATTTCTACAACACTGGACTATTAGGAATAACTTTTTTAAAAAATTACTGCTCTGTAAAAATAAACTGTTTGGAATTCAAGTACAAAAAAGATCTGGAATGAAAAGCATTGTATTTGGCCATGATTCAGGTGCACTGTGGCAGTGCCGTTTGCTCAGGGCCCACCTCTCAGCCCTCCTGTGTGTGCCCCTCTCCAGAGTTCATTTGCCGTTAATCACACACACAGGCCTTCCCGTCTGGTCCCTAGAAAAGCCGGGCTTCCAAAGCACTGTTGAACACTGAGGAGTCTGTTGTTAATGTGGATGTTCAATGAGTTGTATTTTAAATATCAAAGATTATGAAATAAAGATAATGTTTGCTTTTTTATTTCCTTTTTATGTGTGTTTATTTTGTAAATAAGTCAGTTCCTAGCCTTGCTATTCAAAGTGTGGTTGGAGGACCAGCCACGTCTGCTTTTCAAGAATGCAGAGTTTCAGGCCACAGCCCCACCTACTGAATCAGAACCTGGATTTTCACAAGATCGCCAGAGGGTTCTCGTGCAGGGTAACGTATGAGCAGCATTGCTTTATGGGACTTTTCTTAGCCAGCTTCACTAATGCTAAAGCAGTGGGGGACATGTGGAGGGAGGTGCTGGTTTTCCATTCCAGCTGACTGCTGCCAAGGGGCCCATCATTACCAGAGCTTCTGACCTTTTCCATGAGAAACTAAGAATTCCAAATTTTTCTTTGAAATCTGACCTTTTAATGTTGGCTCATTGTTTTCTTAACACTGAGGGTCCAACAAAGCACATGAGTAACTATTTTTAGGAGTGCTGTTTTCCCTCATTTTATCCAACTCAGCACCAGAATTAATTGGTCATGATTGGGAACCACCTGAACTGACGGAAGATTTTATATATAGCATGTAAAGTTTAGAATAAGGGTTGTGTATCCATGTTAGCCTTAATTAGGGTTAGGCACAAATTTTGAAAGATGATAACATTTCAAAAGTTTATTAGATGCATCTTCTTTTATCATATCATCATAACTTAGCACTTAGCAAGATAAGTTCATTGAATTTGGATGCCAAGAAATGTCTCTGATTATTAACACTCACCTGTGGGCCCTATGAACTACAAGTTAATTTGAGAGCCCATTTTAAATATTAGCTAAAAACTTTCTCTTTTATAAAAGTTAGGTTTTCTGTGTTGTCCTTATCCTGCAGATTTGCACGTTTTAGGACCCTTGAACCATTTCATGTCTGCGTCATCAAATGCTCAAAGCTCACTTTAAAGGTAATTTGACCCCAGCCAGCCTCTTTAGCCCCTACTCTTGACATTTCCTCTGTCCACATTGTGGTCCTAGTAGGTGTCCTGACCTCTTCAAATAAGCCAAGGTCTTTCCCACCTCTAGGCACTCTGTAACACTCTCCTTGCTTCGTCTCCTTAGCCATTTGAATTTGATATTCTTGCCCCTAAAGTTCATTTTTGCAGCACTTTGAGTCATGCTACATCAACAAATGAAAGTCCCGAAAATTTTACTCCATTCATGTCATTAAGGATGACTCTACTTTGAGGAGGCAGATCTTCCCCAGTTGTATTTTGAGTGCCTTCTAACCTGAGGGGCTCATCTTCCAGCACTATATCAGACAATGTTCCGATGCTATCAGTAAGGTTTTCACTGGCTAATTTTTTTTGGAAATAGATCACCAGGTCCTACCTAGTCTGCCTTAGTCTGGAAGCTCCGCTGAAACTTGTCCATCCTGGGTGACCCTGCTACTTTTTTAAATACCAGTGGCATAGCTTCCAGCTTCACAGCAACACACAAGCCACCACAGTACAACAAACTGACAGTGGTGTATGCTGAGCAAATAATCCGAGAAGCTGGACTATATGAAAAAGAACACAGCGTCGGGACTGGAGGAAGACTTATTAACAACCTGTGATATGCAGATGACACACCTCACTTGCTGAAAGTGAAGAGGACTTGAAGCACTTACTGATGAGGATCAAATACCACAGCCTTCTGTATGGATTACACCTCAACATAAAACAAAAATCCTCACAATTGGACCATAAGTAACATCATGATAAAGGGAAAAAAGATTGTAGTTGTCAAGGATTTCATTTTCCTTGTATCCACAATCAATGCCCATGGAAGCAGTAGTCAAGAAATCAAACAACATATTGCATTAGACAAATCTGTAAAAGACCTTTTTAAAGTGTTAAAAAGCAAAGATGTTACTTTGAGGACTACAGTGTGCCTGACCAAGCAAGAGTATTTTCAGTTGCCTCATATGGATGTGAAAGCTGGACAATGAAAAAGGAAGACCAAAGATGAATTGACGCATTTCAATTCTGGTGTTGGCGAAGAATGTTGAATATACCATGGACTGTGATGTACAATTCAGAAGAACTAACATACTTGTCTTGGAAGAAGTACAGCCAGAACGTTCATTACAAGTGAGGACAGCGAGACTTTGTCTTGCTAACTTTGGACATGTTATCAGGAGGGACCAATCCCTCAAGAAGGACGTCATGCTTGGTAAAGTAAAAGGTCAGTAAAAAAGAGGAACATCCTCAACTAGATGGATTGACACAGTGACTGCAACAGTGGGCTTGAACATAACCTATTATTGTGAGGAATGGCACAGGACCGGGCAACATTTTGTTCTGTTATACATAGGGTTACTATGAGTTGGAACTGACTTGACGACACCTAATAACAAAGTTCATTGGCTATCCCTTGCTATGAAGACTCTCCTTCACACTGGACTATTACCACTAGCTGTGACCTGTTCTAAGATTTTTCTCCCAGTGTTCTGTTCCTCCCCCTGTGTCAGGAACCCCACCCTTTGTCTCACAGGATTGTGGAGACAATTGTTAAGTCATTGATTCACTCATCCAACATTTGATCCATGAATAAGATAGTCTCTGTTCTCACAGCACTTGCATTTGGGTTGGTAGTTAGGCAAAGGAGACAGACATGTACATAAACGAACATGACTTCATAACACCTTCAGAGCTATGCTTGTTCTGTGAGATAGGAAGACAAACGGTGATGTGATAGAGTGTGACTGGAAGGGAAGGCTTCTTCAGACAGTGTTCAAGAAGGGTGTCTTTGAGAAAGTGACGTTTGAACAGATACCTAAAAAATGAGGAGGTAGCCAGGCAAAGATCTTTGTGCCACTATACCTGCCTGAGGAAACAGCAAGTGCAATAGTTCTGAGGTGGAAGATGGCTTGTATCTGAGAAACAAAGATTAATGAAGCTAGTGAGTAAGGAAGAAAAGATAAAATTGGGATGGAAGCAGAATCTTATATAAGGTTTTATAAATAAAGAAGTTTAGATTGTATTTATATTTTATCATACTGAGCAATCTAGCTTCACTTTGTCATAACCTCCTTTCTAGAATATTCATACAAGTCGTTTTCAAAATAGTGTTTTAAAAGGTCCATTGACAATGTTTTTACCAAAAAGTAGTCCATGCATCCTAAGCAATGGGAAGAGATGGTGGAATTTTTAACACAAAAAGAGTTTATTTAACTGATCCTGGATCAGAATTTCAGACAAGGCTCCCACCTCCCAACTCGTGCATTTTTGTTTTCCTTCTTGTTAAATCTACACAACTTTTTCATCACTATCAGACTAGAGTTCAGTTTTGAAGCCGCAGCACAATTTTTGGTTGCCAATCTATATCATAAAGCCTAGTGATTAATATATGGATATCTCCCAGCTACACTCCATTTGTTTTTCCTAGCCAGTTGCTATTGAGTTGATTTGATGATTCACGGCATCCCTATGTGTGTCAGAGTAGAACTGTGCTCCATAGGGTTTTTAATGGCTGAAATTTCGGAAGTAGATCTCCATGCCTTTTTTCTGAGGTGCCTCTGGGTAGACTCGAATATCCGACCTTTGAGTTAACAACTGAGCATGTTAACTGCTTGCACTACTCAGGGACTCTTTGTCTTTCTTAGCCACTTCTAATCTAGGACACCATTATATCATGTATTTAAGCACGTGCCATAACACATTAGCTGTTCACTTGGCCTCCAGCCTCTCTGTTCTTGAATCCAGCCTTCCTGAAGCTGCTTATCCGCATCATTCACATTACCTTGAAGTGAATCTTCATTACTGTCAACATGTTATCATAGGAAATAATATGTGTAAATATTGGAAAGAATGATGTCAAATTATTTTTTGGAGGGAGCCATTAAGATATATTTATTAAGAATCAACAATTTAACATTTATTAAGCGCCAAATTCTGTGACAGCCGCTGTGCTCTGTGGTTTATAAATATCCCTAATTCTCACAACAATGCTACAAAGTTGGAATTATTTCCGCTACTTGATGGATAAGGAAACGGAGGCTCAGAAAGGTTAAGAAGCTTACTGGAAGTCATGGAGCTAGCAAGTGGCAGAGCCTGGATTCAAAACCAGGTTTGTCTGACTCTAAAATCCGTGTGGTTTTCACTGTGTCACAGCAACATGCCTTGGAGGTCTTTGAAGAAAGATACTTTCAGCTTTTTATTTTGAAATACTTTTTGACTTATAAAAAAGTTTTAGAAGAAAATAGTACAGAGTTCTTATATACCTTTCACCCAGTTTTCCCTAATTGTACATAGCCACAGTATAAACATCAAAACCTGGAAGTTAACAAGGATATAGTACTATTAACCAAAGATCTTTTTCAAATTTCACCAGTTTTCCCAGCACGGTATTTTACACAAATGATGCATGCCTTCTATGCTTGTTTGCCAACCAGATTATTTTTTGATATGGCTGTATGCCTAGACAACCCAAGGAAATTAACTGAAAAGCTATTGGAACTGATAAGAGATCAGTAAGTTCCATTGCTAAGGTCAACTCATCCAAGATGCTAGCTGAGGTACCTATCATTATACCTGCATACCAGCGAACGCAGTCACTATGTAAAAATTAATAACTTCTTTATATACCAACAATTGTTGGGAAACAAGATGGGAAAACACCAAGCTCAATAATGTTTAATCCTTGAAGCATCAGAGAGGTACTGAGTTCCAAGTGAGGAGAATGGAATGGCCCTTGTCTCAGCCCTGAGCCACACGTGGTCACATGGATCCAAGCACCTCTGCTTGTGCCGAGTCCTGCCAAGTCTCCCAGAAAATAGTTGTCAGGTTCTGGCATTCACCCCCTAAAATGGCTCAAACCCGGTGCCAGAGTACAGGACATGCAGATTCCATGCTTTCTCCATTGCTTTCATGCCTTCTCCAGATAAAATAATCTCTCCAGACACTGTGTTTTTATTCTGCACAGGGGCAACACCGTCTCCAACAATGAAAACCTTTTTACCTTCTCAGGCCCAAAGCAGATTTAGCTCCTTTGAACCATCATCTCAAACATCTACCAGGAGCTTCCTACAAATCCTACAGAGGACTGAACACTCGTGTTTGCTCCCCTCCAAAAGCCCACCTAAATGAAAGTAAAGAAAAATATATAAGCCTACATGTACCAAAAGACCAGGGGAGGAGATGCATTTGTTAGGTGAGGTTTGGTTGTAATAACCAAAAACCAAATCCACTGCCGTACAGTCGATGCCGACTCATAGTGACCCTATAGGACAGAGTAGAACTGCCCCCGTAGAGTTTCCAATGAGCGCCTGGTGAATTCGAACTGCCAACCTTTTGGTTAGCAGCCACAGCTCTTAACCACTGTGTCACCAGGATTTCCTTGGCTGTAGTAGAAAAACCTAATGTAACAGTGACTTTTACGAGCTGTATTTTTCTCTCTCATCTTCAAGAAATGTAGAGATTTCCAGCCCAGGGCTGATATAGCATCACACAGTGTCAGGTATCTGCTTCTCCTGTATTACTGCTTTATGTTCATAGCTTCCATTGCTAAGGTCAATTCTTGGATCCAAGACAGCAGCTGTGGTGCCTATCATTATACCTTCATCTCAGTGAGCAGAAAACAAAGGAGGGTGGAAGAAGACCGTGTCCCCTTTCTTTAACTCCTTGAAGTTGCACATACCCCTTCCACTTATATTCCACTGGGCTGAAGTTAGTCACATGGCCACTCCTAGCTGCACTGGAAAGGTAGTTTTTATTCTGGGTGGCCTTGGTGGTGCAATGGTCAAGCACTCAGGTGCTAACTGAAAGGTTGGCAGTTTGAATCCAATCAGCAGCCTGGTAGGAGAAAGACGTGGCATCTGCTCCCATAAAGATTACTGGCCAGAAAACCCTATGGGGCAATTCTACTCTATTACATGGATTGCTATGAGTCGGAATTGACTCAAGGGCACCTAACAACACGTACCTTAGCTTGGGCCCCCTAGGTGCAAATTCCGAGATGAGGTTTCATGTAAAATGATATATTCAAAAGCATTCCCAGGAAGAAATGGAATGGGTATAGGGAGTTGGAAACTAAGAGAAGGAAGCCAAACAAGGGTGTAATATTAAGCAAAGCCTCAGTCCTGCAAAAGAGGTCTTGAGACAGTATATTCATATCTTTAGAGTTGTCCCAATCAAGGGCAGGGGAGCTGCATCATTTTAAACTCCTGCTGCAGGGAGTTTAAATCACATGGTTTTGCTCAGCTGTCTGAGCATACAGGCAGTGTGCGCTCCAGCAGCCTGGGCCCCTGACAGACACAGGCGCTGGCTGTTGGGCGTGAAAGCCCCCCAAGAACAGATGTGCACGAAAATAATAAAGAGATGAGGGATTCAGGAGGGGTGATGCTATCTTATGCAATACCAGGCGGCCAGATAAAAACTGTGGGCTCAACCACCATATACGAAGGGGACAAGAAACTTTAGGAGACAACTAGCAGTCACTGCTGGATGAGACAATGACAGAAAAGATGTTACCATTTTATTGGGAGATGGTAAGTTGTAGGAATAAGCAGAAGTGAGAAAGCTGAATACTAAATGTTAAGAAGGCCCAACTGTGCACAGAAAATGAAGGCAACAACAATCCCTTGGAGCAGGGTGGGTGAGATGTGGGCTGAAATCAGGAGGATTGGTTAAAAGTCTTTGAAAGAAACAGTAGATTCTTTAGAGAGGAGGTATTCATCAAGAAAAAACAATTTAAATAATTGACAGAACTAAAGGCCTAAAGCAGATGATTTTTAAAAGGGTCTGCTGAGTGCCCAGCATAATGAATTAAAAAACAAACATACAAAAACCCACTCCAAGGCACATCATTATTAGTTTCACAGTATCAGAGATAAAGATCCTACAAGCTTCCAGAAGAAAAGCAAGGCCCAGCAAATAGAGAAGACAAGAGCAGGAAAACGCCGCAGAGCAATAGAATTTTCTATGTCTTTTGTTAAAAACAGAACTAGAAGAGTGATTTAAAATTCTGTTGCTAAGTTTTAGAAGGATTACTGATTTTTAGTAACGTTGAAAATTATGCAAATTAAACAAAGGGATCTGTTAACTTCAGGAGGAACAAAAACTTGAACAAGAAAGGAAATGTAATTTTAGTATCCCACTTGGCTCAGCAGTGAACAGTAGTTATGTAGTCACATAAGGTATTTTACAAAAAACTGTGACATCACTATAATTAGAGCCCAGAAGGAAGAGACGTGAAGGCATGGGGTGATACAAGTGACTACGTCCTTTATTTTCCATAATAGAAAGTGGGTAGATATCTAAAATTAATGAGAAAATCACAATTATAAGCATAATATTTAGAAATTCAGAGGAAAATACCAAACTCTTAAAGTCAGTCGACTTTAAAAATGGGTTTTTGCTTTCCACTTGCATAAATAAAAAACCATTTGGATGGTTTTCTCAGAACAAAAGAGCTGTCTTCCCTAGAGTATTGGTAATTCCACCTCTTGAGAAACAGAAACTAGCTTGCAGCTTTTAAATATTTTTTGTTTGTTTGTCTTAGGTTCAGAATTTCAGCTAGGCAGTCTAGACTCCGCCACCTGGAGCCCCTTCGGTCCTTGGGCCCTGTCTGATAGGATGTATTTGATTGTGCTGGGTTGGTTTTGCTACTTAAGTGACGAACACTCATACAGGGAGAAGAACCCAAATCTACTGCCGACGAGTCCTTTCTCATTCATAGCGACCCTAAAGGACAGAGTAGAACTGCCGCGTAGGGTTTCCAAGGAGCGCCTGCTGATATTCTAGTTAGACGAACGGTTAACCACTGCGCCACAGGGCTCCTCATACAGGGATACTTGGTGGGGAAAGGTGTCTTCAGCCCAAACTTTTTATCAGTTATCAGACTTGCATGTCTTTTAACTTTTTATTACTTAAAAAATAAAATGTTATTCTAAAAAAAACTTCAGATACATGCAAAATAAGAGGCTAGTATAATGAACTCCTATGTACCCATCAACCCAGCTTCAAGTATCTTGACAATTCCTGTTTCATCACTCTCTCTCCCCCATCCCATTATTTTGAAGCACATCCCAGACATCATATCACGTTATTTAAGACTCATACGTTAAGTCTCTTGGGCCACTGTCTATCCCACAGGGGCAAAAAAAAAAAAAAAAAAAAAAACAGAGAGAAGAAAACAAAAGAAACCAAAAACAAAAAAAAGCAAGGAGGGAAAAAAAAAAAAAAAAAAATCCCCCAGAAGGGACGTTTATGATCCAGAGGTCATGAAGTAGTGGCCCACGGTGGCCCACAGATAAGTTTTATTTGGTCCATAAGGTGTTAAAAAAAATTGTACCAACAGTTAAAAATTAGACCTCTTCTTTAAAAATTCACTCTAGGCCCACATCTCTTCAGACAACCATCCATAGGGCCCTTTAACAGGGTCCAAGGCGTGCGTGTGACTTTATATGCTGCCTGGACACTGAATATGCAAACCATCCTTTATATATTCGTATCCTCAGCTCCTACCCTAGAGCCTGGCACAGAGCAAGCCTTAAGAGGTTGTTCAATAAATGTTCGATAGAGTAACGAGTGATACGTCATTTAAAGCCACTTTCTGCGCCGTGGGATGATCCTGCCAAGTCTCCTCGCACGTCTGCGGCTGCGGTCTAGACCGAATTAAGACTCAGGTTCCAACAACTCAAAGTCCGAGGGGTTCCTGGCCATGCCGACCTTGGGGAGTCCCGAGGGCCTAGCTCAGTCTGGAAACTCAGATGGAATCGGCGGAGAACGCCGTGTCGCCACCACTTCTCCCTGCTTCCTTCCTCCGCACCGGCCAGCAGCCAGCTGGCTACGTGGAGGCTGACCTAACCCGGTACGAGAGGTAGCCGGCCCAGCCCACCCGCGCGCGGTCCTCCGCGATCCCATCCTCCCTTGCGGCCAGGCCACGTCCGGCAGGCTTCGCAGAGCCCTTCTACGCCACCGCGGCGCCTCTCTATGATCCGCTGCCGCTTTCAGAGCGGGTGTCATGGCGGCCGGCGTCGAGTTGGCAGGAGTTGCCCGCGGAATTGGGGAAAGTCACTAAAACAGAGAAAGGTGGCCCAACCCGGATGGTAGGAAGTCTTGAGAATGAGCAGAGGTCCCGCGGGAGGGACTGTGTCACTGGAGGAGGACCCTTGGTAAATTCCCAGCCGGGCATCTGCATTTCTAGCGTTGGGTGCCGTTGGTGTATACTCCTTGAAGCCGGCATTGCCTAGGAACCACTCATTGTGTTACTGAATCCTGAGTGTTTTGATTCGGACTAGTCTCGTAAAGGCAGCGGTGCGAGGACACTTGGCGGGGTCGTCGGACAACGCTGGACGCTTTTTTTTGAGTAGACCAGGTCCTTTTCTGACCGGCCGCGATGTCTTCCTGGCTTGGCGGCCTCGGCTCCGGCTTGGGCCAATCCCTGGGTCAAGTTGGGGGCAGCCTGGCTTCCCTCACTGGCCAGATTTCAAACTTTACAAAGGATATGCTGATGGACGGCACGGAGGAAGTGGAAGGTAGCATTTGGGGCGATGAGGGGGAGGGTTTTTTTGGGTCCCTGCGAGCGTCCTTTTGGTCTCTACTTCCATCTGTTACGAGACGCGGACGGGTCCGAAGAGTGTGAATCCGCCCTTCTTTCTTTACACTACTCTTTTGCCTCTTCTTCACCGAATTTCTCTGATGTAGGACACCTGGGGTTCGGGGAAAGCGTTTGATTCTCCCTTTGCGTACTCTGGATATCTCAGAAAAGAGTCAAACTGTTAACCATTAAGTAGTTTATTTTTGTTTCATCCATGCTTTCCACTTGACTCTCGACTTGGGGGCGGATCTGATTTTGGTTCTTTTATACTAACACAGTTAAAATATTTGTCTATATTTTTTGTTTTCTATTTTTGTACTAATTGAAGTAACTCATAATTAAAACATTTAGTGATTTTTATCTTTTCTGACTGAAGTAATTATTTGTTCGTGAAACATGACTATGTTTTCCCTATTCAGTTATTTTATATTTTTGCTTATTCTGCTGACACATTGCAGTGTTTCTGCTGAAAATGTATTTCTCCAGTATTTCGACGGTAGAACAAGTAGAACAAGGAAGAAGGCCCTATTTTTTGGGTATCCTTAACAAACCTTCGCTCATTTTTGAAGTCCTTATCGTTTTTTTACTAATGAATAGTGACCCAGAGTTACACAGTAGTCAGTCCTTAAGTTAATTACTATTTTGATTTCTTGACAGCAAGTACTGTTTAGATCAAAAGTTAATTTCAATCTGGGTCTGCTTCCTTATAAATGGATAAATTAGCATTCTGGTTTAATTTTTTTTATCATAATTTAACTGGGCCTTCGTGCTTATTTCATTGAAATAGAGATAGTTTGATAGTATTTACGTTTAGATTTAGAATTTCTCTTCCTTTAGAAGGAAGAAAGTCTGGGGAGCTGCTGAAATCCATTTTATTGATTGGGGTTCATATTGAGTGGAAAGTGCATGGGGTGGGATAGGTTGGGATGGGAATGAACAGGCTTCTTCCTGTGTCTAGGAAAGGATCATGTAACCTTGAGGACAGTTAGAAGCAGGGAAGGGCTGGAATGATGAGTTATGCTTAGTTTCTTCTTGTATCCTAGATGTGAAATGGTTGGCTGTTCCTTTGAGTCTAAGCCAGAAAGTATGCTTCCCCCTAACCTGGATGTCCTGCAGGCTAAAGGTGGAATTCATTTTGTTCTTCCCACCAAATGTGCTCCTGTATTCTTAATCTTAATTAATGGTTTCACCATCTACCCAGTCTCCTGAATCTTTGTCTTGTTTTTTTCTTGTCCTACTTCTAAATGATCACCTAATCTTGTTTATCGTATGCCAGAATTGTTTCTTTATATTTGTTCTTTATTACTTCTGCTGCTTTGGTTTAGATCCCCATTGTCTCTCCCATGCTGTTGAAATATCTTTCCTTTCATGTCCTCTCACCCGTTGCTCCCGACTCCTGTCCATTTTCTGTAGTATTGCCATCGTTACTTTTCTAAAAACAAATTTGCTTAAAAACCTCTTGACTGTTACTTACAGGATAAGATCCAAACTTCTTAGTTTTGGGAAGCCAAGGACCTTTATTTAGTATCTGGCTTCAGCCTACCTTTCCAGTCTTAACACTTGTTCCTTCCCCTTTTCTCTCAATTGCCATACATATGCATATTCATACACGCATGCACACTTGCACCCAGAGCTTCAGCCACACCCAACTTGTCAGGTACCTTCACAACTGCAAGTCTTTGCATGGAAAGTCCTTCTCTACCTGCTCCTCCTCCCTCCTTTGCTTGGAAAACTTTTTCCTGTACAACCCCGCTGGCATGTCAGGTACTTGGTGAAACCATTCTCATTCTCTCGCAGGCTGAGCTGATTGCAGGTGATCTGTGTTCCAGCACAACTTTGCATATCTCTCCTTGACAGCATTTACCACATTGAGTTATAATTTATCTCTGTCCTTGATGCCCAGCGAGGGGACTGTATTTTATTTACCCATTTATTACCAGTATGTGCCATCTTCCTTGGTACATAGTTGATGCTTAGTAAAAATTTTGCTGAGTGATTAAAAATCTACAAAGTTACTTAATACTTTTCCTTTTTTATTAAAACAGAGCTCGCTTAATACTTAATTTATTGGTTTTAAAAAATATTTAAAAGTAGGATCAGAATAGAGTTTATTTATTCAACAAGTATTTATTGAGAGTCTACCCTGAGCCAGCAGTGAAGAAGAAAATAGTTTCTAAATAGCACTGTTGGTACACCTTGAAAATCACCCATGTGTACAATATCAAAAGGTTACTGCTGTACTAAACATAGTACTGATTTATTCAGTGTTACGAGATTGGGCATTTAAATCAGATAGACATGGATTGAAATCCACTTCTGTGCATCACAAGTTGAGGGACCTTTGGCAAATTATTTACTACTTGTAAAAGCACAGTTTTCTCATCTGTTAAATAAGGATAATCATACCTGTTACAGGGTTGGGAGGACTAAATGAAATCATGAGTGTAAAATGCCTAGAATTATGCCTAGCTAATAGTAAGCCTTAATAAACAGTAGCTGTTATTATTTTTTTTCTTCATTAAGAAACTCAGAATTTTTTTGTCTGCTTAACATCTCTCCTTTATTCTTAAAATGTCCAGGATTTTTTTGGGGGAGTGTCTCCATAAACCTCCTTTTCTATCATTCTTTGAAACAATTACAGCTTCTAACAATTACCTTCCTAGAATAGATTAGATTATACTTTGTCCTTATCAGAGTAGCAATTAGACAGCTCTTTCAAAGTTTACATGAAGCAAGATGTGTAAACAAACCACAGAAGCAATCCATCTGCGATTTTCGAAATAGAAAGAGTAGGTTTGTTGCTATTCTTAACTGGATGCCACTTGTATTTTCTTTTGATTTAAACTAATTTGGAGAAGTTATTTTTATAATGTTAGTGTGAGAGTAAAGAAAAATGCTCATACCTAGAAAAAAATCTAACTCTGGCATAATGGTTTTCAGACCACAAGGATAGTGTCATTTTGGCACTGCTGGGCTCTGACCCTACTTTTAAACGAACATGCACAAAACCAGACTGAGCTCATTCCTATTTTTAATAAATTGTATCTCTGTTTCTTTAGTACATTTTTACTCTTTGTTTATAGGTCATTAACTATTTGACAGTCGTGGGAACAGAAGTTAGAAGTGAGACCTTAAAGACAAACTGATGAATATATCTCATCTGAAATTATGATGTAAGCCAACAGAGAAAGAGATTCAGTTTGCAAAACTTAACTTTTACTCAACAAAATTTTAATGAACACTTCCAAAGGGTAACACTAGAATTCCTAAGGTTTAGGAGGTAGACAAAAGAAAAGTCTTATATGACAGTGAAGAACATTAGTGGCAGTAGGAAATGATGAAAATCAAGTGATATCTGTCTTCTGAATTTACTCTCAGATCAGTATGCCAGTGAAATATACTTTCCTTAAAATGCCTGTTTAATTACTTCCTATGGTGTTGATCAGATATTCAGTATATGCTATTTCTTTCATAGCAGAATTACCTAACACTAGGAGAAAGGAAATTGAAGCCATTCATGCAATCTTAAGATCAGAGGTAAGGAAAATTAAAGAGTACTGTCAACTTAGATTTTTCTTTTTTGAATTAATGAAAGTTGTTCAGACTTTATTGTAGTCCTTTCTTAAATGTACTGCTTAACACTTTTTATCTCTTGCTTTTTATCTTTTAGCTTTATCAGGCTACCTCAGGTGAAGAATATGTTTACATGTTACTGCAGTTTGCTATTCTTTAATATTTCCATCTCTGTTTCTTTCTGCTGGAAATAGAAAAACTGCCAACTGTAGAAATAATAGTGGTAACAATTTATAATTATCAGGGGATTACTATGTTCACATTGTGCTAAATTATAGTAATACATTTCCTTAAGTATAATGAGAAGAATACAGTTCTGTTTAATCTAGAGCTTTTTAATCCCCTAACATTATTTTTTAAAAAGTGATATTTCGATGCCTAGAAATTAAGAATACATGTAGAAATAACTGATTTTACCATTTTATGCATCATTAGTCAGTGCCCAGTTGTGACTAGTTCTGGACCCTGTACTTAACAGGGACGAGGACAGGGTTCAAAGGAGAGCCATAAAGGAAAAGAAAAGATTGAAAAGTGGGATCTATTGGAAAGGACTGAAGAAACTTAACTATTTAGCCTCGGGATAAGAACAGTGAGGGACACTTTAATAATAGTAATTTGGCCAAAGATATTCTTAGAGGACTGTGGTAAGCAGATTTTCTTCTCTACGAAGCCTACTCTACTAAGCCTGAAAAAGAGAAAATTGAATTTAAATATAAGAATATTTACTAACAGTGAGCATTGTTGAACTCCGGTCTAGATAACCAAGGTGAGATTGTGGAATTTGAAAGTAGAGGGACTTCTCAAGAGCAACTACAGGAATATTCTGCCTCAGTAGAAGATGACAGTTTGGAGGCACTTAGAGGCCTTAGCCCTAATAACCTAGTAAGTAAGTAGGTGCTGTAGTGACAGAGGAACTTAATAGCTATTTGCTTTTGTAAAGCTGAGATGGGAAGTTGTTCCTATTGTCCCTAAAAACCCTTGAGAAAGCACACGTTAGACACCCCTCCCTCCGTGAAATATTACATGGCAGAGGTGCGTATAGTGGCTGGCATTAACTTTGGTGAATTCACCTGTGCATATTTGGGGAAAAAAAGAGAATGAACTGCTAAATGAATGTCTGCTTGGTATAGTGCTTGAGAAACGAGTTAGAGATCTTCTATCCCTCTCTTGACCTCAATTCTTCTAATGTCTCTCATAGTGTTATCATTGGACTATGGCAAGTATGATTCTAGTGTTTAGGAATATTTATTTTTGGTATAATACATCCCTAAATGCAATTTCCTAATTTGGTGCTTAATCAGAGTAGCGTGAGATATTCAAACACTAGAGGAAAAAGTCTACTGGACTTCCCAAGGGCTTTATTTCCTGAGGTAATTTTGACCATACATGACTCTTGCCTCATGCACTGACTTCATACCATAACCCCTTATATGCCTATGCAGTATATCCCTGTTCAAGATTCCCTGCTGTAAGGGAAAAGATGAAGTATGGTTGAAGCCATTAAGGAACTTACAATATAAATATTCTATTTAGAACATTTTAGTATAGACAGAGGGCAGTGTATTTTCCAGAGGAAAATAGATTTGTTTGCAGATACTGTAACATCTGTCTTGGAAAAAGTACAGCCAGAAAGCTCCTTAGAAGCAAAGATGGCAAGACTTCGTCTCACATACTTTGCACATGTTGTCAGGAGGGACAGTCCCTGGAGAAGGACATCATACTTGGTAAAGCAGCGGATCAGCGAAAAAGAAGACGACCTTCAACCAGATGGATTGACACAGTGGCTGCAACAGTGGGCTCAAAGATAGCAGCGATTGCAAAGATGACCCTCTACTTCACCAAGCATGATGTCCTTCTCCAGGAACTGATCCCTCTAGATAATACGTCCAAAGTATGTGAGACAAAGTCTCGCCATCTTTGCTTCTACGGAGCATTCTGGCTATACGTCTTACAAGACAGGTTTGGTTGTTCTTCTTGCAGTCCATGGTATGTTCAGTATTATTTGCCAACACCTAATTCAAAGGCATCAATTCTTTGGTCGTCTTATTCATTGTTCAGCTTCTGCATGCATATGAGGCCATTGAAAGTACCATGGCTTGAGTCAGGCACACTTTAGTCCTCAAATTGATATCTTTTGCTTTTTAACACTTTAAAGAGGTCTTTTGCAGCAGATTTGCCCAGTGCAGTGTGTCATTTGATTTCTTGACTCCTGCTTCGATGATCATTGGTTATGGATCCAAGTAAAGTGAAATCCTTGACAACTTCAGTCTTTTCTCCCTTTATCATGATATTGCTTCATAGTCCAGTTGTGAGGGTTTTTGTTTTCTTTTTGTTGAAGTGCAATCCATATCGAAGGCTGTAGTCTTTGATCTTCATCAGCAAGTGCTTCAAGTCCTCTTTGCTTTCAGCAAGCAAAGTTGTGTCATCTGCATATTGCAGGTTGTCTTCCTCCAATCCTGATGTCCCATTCTTAATCATATAGTCCAGTTTCTTGGATTATTTGACAGTATACAGATTGATTAAGTATGATGAAAGGATACAACTCTGACACACACCTTTCCTGATTTTAAACCACACAGCATCCCCTTGTGCTATTCGAATGACTGCCTCTTGGTCTATGTACAGGTTTTGCATGAGCACAATTAAGTGTTATGGAATTCCCACTGTTTGCAGTGTTATCCATAATTTGTTATGATCCACGCAGGCAGTGCTTTGCATAGTCAATAAAACACAGGTAAACATCTTTCTGGCATTCTCTGCTTTTAGCCATGATCCATCTGACATCAGCAATGATATCCCTTGCTCCACAGCCTCTTCTGAATCCGGCTTGAATTTCTGACAGTTCCCTGTCGATGTACTGCTGCAGCCGCTTCTGAATTATCTTTAGCAAAATTTTACTTGTGTGTGATGTTAATAATATTGTTCAATACTTTCCGCGTTCTGTTGGATCATCTTTCTTTAGAATGGGCATATATATGGATCTCTTCAGTCGATTGGCCAGGAAGCTGTCTTCCAGATTTCTTGTCATAGACGAGTGAGCACCTCGAGCGCTGCATCTGTTTGTTGAAAACATCTCAGTTGGTATTCCCTCAATTTCTGGAACCTTGTTTTTCACCAGTGCTTTCAGTGCAGCTTGGACTTCTTCCTTCAGTACCATCAGTTCTTGATCATATACTACCTCCTTAAATGGTTGAATGTGAACGAATTCTTTTTGGTATAGTGACTCTGTGTATTCCTTCCATCTTCTTTTGATGCTCCCTGTGTCGTTCTATATTTTGTCCATAGAATCCTTCAATATTGCAACTCGAGGTTTGAATTTTTTCTTCAGTTTTCACCTTGAGAAATGCTGAGCGTGTTCTTCCCTTTTGGTTTTCTAACTCCAGATCTTTGCACATTTCATTATGATGTTGTCTTCTCGAACTACCCTTTGAAGTCTTCAGTTCTTTTACATGATCATGTTTTCCGTTCGCTTTAGCTACTCTACATACAAGAGCAAGTTTCAGAGTCTCTTCTGACATCCATTTTGGTGTTTTCTTTCTTCTCTGTCTTTTTAATGACCTTTTGTCTTCTTCATGTATGATATCCCCCAGTTTGTCTGCTCTTTGGTCGTTAGTTTTCAGTGTGTCAGATCTTTTCTTGAAATAGTCCCTAAATTCAAGTGGGATATTCTCAGTGTCTACTTTGGCTCTTGTGGACTTATTTTAGTTTTCTTCAGCTTCAGCTTGAACTTGCATATGAGCAATTGATGGTTTGTTCCACAGTCTGCCCTTGGCCTTGTTCTGACTGATGATATTGAATTTCTCCAACATCTCTTTCCACAGATGTAATTGATTTGATTTTTGTGTATTCCATCTGGCAGGGTCCATGTGTATAGTCACTATTTACGTTGTTCAAGAAAGGTATTTCCAGTGAATAAGTCATTGGTCTTGCAAAATTCTATCATGCTATCTCCCTTGTTGTATGTATCACCGAGGCCATATTTTCCAGCTGCTAATTCTTCTTTGTTTCCAACTTTCACATTGCAATCACCAGTAATTATCAATGCATTTTGATTGCTTGTTTGATCAATTTCAGACTGTAGAAGTTGGTGACAATCTTCAGTTTCTTCATCTTTAGCGTTAGTGGTTGGCATGTAAATTTGAATGATAGTCTTAACTGGTCTGCCTTGTAGGTGTATGGATGCTGCCCTGTCACTGGCAGCATTGTACTTCAGGATAGATCTTGAAATGTTCTTTTTTGACGATGAGTGTGATGCCATTCCTCTTCAATTTTCATTGCTGGCATAGTAGACCATATGACTGTCTGATTCAAAATGGCCAATGCCAGTCTATTTCAGCTCACTAATGCCTAGGATATCAATGTTTATGCATTCCATTTCATTCTTGACAACTTCCTGTATTCCTAGATTCATACTTTGTACATTCCACATTCTGATTATTAGTGGATGTTTGCAGCTGTTCTCATTTTGAGTCGTGCCACCTCAGCAAATGAAGCTCCCGAAAGCTTGACTCCATCCACCTCCTTAAGGTCGACTCTACTTTGAGGAAGCAGCTCTTCCCTAGTCGTCTTTTGAGTGCCTCCCAACCCAAAGGGCTCATCTTCCGGCACTATATCTGACATTGTTCTGCTGCTCTTCATAAGGTTTTCACTGACCAGTTTTTTACGGAAGTAGATCTGTAGGTCTTTCTTCCTAGTCTGTCTTAGTCTGAAAGCTCCACTGAAACCTGTCCACCATGGTGACACTGCTACTGTTTGAAGTACTGGTGGCATAGCTTCTAGTATCACAGCAACACACAAGCCACCACAGTTCTATAAACTGATAGACGAGTGGTGGCCTTATTGCTAGTAATTTTTAATAATATGTTATTTGTTGGCTGATTCTGTGTTAGATTTCTGGGTAGAGTCCCAAACTAGTGGGCTATATACTTTTTCCTTTGCTTTTCTGTAGGAGTTAAAGGAATTCATGTAGTCTCCCTGGATCATAGTTTTCATACCTGTTGATGGAAGAAGTTTCTAGAGATGACATCCCCAAAGTGAAAAAATCTTCACCTTTTTCTCAGTCATCATTGTTTAATGGTATTTATAGGTATAGTAATAGAATTCTTAGTAAACTAGTACCTTTAATAATTTGTAAATCTCTTTTTTAATAGAATTTTAGTGTGCCTTGTCCAGTTATGTCCTTACTATATTCATTCAAATGATAAAGAATGATAATAAGAGGTTAAGATATATAATAGATATGTAAAATTAAAAAAATCCCATATTTTCCTATATTTTAAAACAAAAGCCTGTGATCTCTAGGATCACTGAATTATACTTAGAATGTTTTCTGTGCTTCTAACTGTAGTTTTTCAAACTGAGTTCTAGTACTGGTTTTCAAAGTGGATTTTTCAGAGGTTCTTCAGGGAGCCCAGGGGGGCAGGCTAATAAGTAATGTGAGTCTTTAGTCTCCTGCCTGTAGTTTAAGCAGAACTCTGTTTTAAAAGATTTCCTTTAGAAAGTTTTACTAATTGGGGAGATAACAAAAGCTCAAATATGTAACCTAACCCAACATGTATTGCCTGTGATATGCTATCGCTGGGTGTTCAAAGAAGGGGAAACATTGTCCAATGGCTCTTTCTTAGCAGAATGTTAAACTGAGCAACATTTTAATGCTTTTTACTTTGGTTCCGAATTAGGCATAATCTGTATAAACTTGTTTATTGCATATGTTAACTTTAATTTGAAAGCGTACTTTAAAGAATTCTGAGACTTTTCATACTTTACATCATTTTTTGTATGAAGCAATATATTTGTTTTTTGTAATGCAATGCATATAACTATTATTAACGTGTTTTACTTTTAGTCTTTTTGTTGAAATGATTTTTTTTTTCCACTTCTAGAATGAGAGACTTAAAAAAGTCTGTACTGATCTAGAAGAGAAGCATGAAGCATCAGAGCTTCAAATAAAGCAGCAATCTACAAGTTACCGAAATCAGCTGCAACAGAAAGAGGTAAAGGTTATTTCAGTCACTTCAGATCTGTTTCACTGTCATATATTTAGGAAGGTTTTTAAGAGTTATAGTATAAATCAAGTTATGTTTAGATATATAAAAATACTGAAAGGGTATTGAATTTAAGAATTCCTAACTCAGCTTGATATCACTAATTTAACAAGAACTCTGCGAACTTTTATATTAAGTTTATATTACATAATGTAATGTAACCTTCTTGGAGTTTATAATTTCTACTTTTCAGAAGAAGAAAAGTCTTTGTATAAAATATCTTCCGGCATCTGTTGCTTATAATTACTGATTTTATGATACCTAATTTCTCATTTATTATTTTAAATCAGTGTGACCATTACTGATGACATTTTTTCTTTTATAAAAATATTTAACTACAAGTATGTTTGTATTGGCATCTACTCGATTTTCTGCAGAAAAGCAGAATATTGAGTATATTATAGTTGACCTTTACTGTTCTATATACGTTTCATTTTTGTGCTTTAGCTTTATTTTGATAGAAATGGATGTTTTGGAATTAGCTTATCTTTACACTAGTGGTGATAGATATTATATAATTTAACCAGTGTTATCATAAATCTTAAAATACAGCCTGTGTCTTCATGTTTCATGCTGTTGTTGAATTATCTTTACTCTTTAGCATATAAGTGTAGTTCAGTACTTACATCAAGTCAAACAATTTCCTGTTTTATTATCCAGATTGTTTGAATGTTCTTCTGTTTATTGATTAAATGTTCGTTTCTACCATAACTTTGTATTTGGGTTTTTTAAATTTAGATGCTTGATTTCTGGTTCCTTTAGTGACATACTAAGGTGAAAAATAAAATACATTAAATATAAACGTTTAAAGTAGTGCTTTCAAACCATTTATGGGGAAGGCCAGAGCCCTGGTGGTGCAGTGGTTAAGAGCTATGGCTGTTAACCAAAACGTCGGCAGCTCAAATCCACCAGTTCTACTCTGCCTATAGGGTCTCTGTGAGTTGGAATCGACTCTATGGCAATGGGTTTTTTTTGTTTGTTTGTTTATGATGAAGGACCAGTTTTGTTTTGTTTTTCAATTTCCAGTCTTTCGGGGGTTGATATTTTCATGAAACACAGTAAAAATAAATTACTATAAAAACAAATGCAAAAAACCCAAACTATAAGCTCACTTTTGTTTTTTTAGAGTCAACAGATTTAAAAATTACTCTGCCACATTGCTTCAGAGGACTTTAAACCTTGCTCTTTCTTGCAGTTTCTGTACTTACGTTCTCATGGGTGGTAGTACAGATTCATGGTACTAGTCCACAGACCATACTTGATTAGAAGTGACATAGAGAACATTACAATACAGCAGTAGTTATTACCCAGGGGTTTACAGCAGAATTGTAAGTGACACTTTTTTTCTTTTTTTAAATTGTGTTTTAGCATGAATGAAGCTGGAAGGCATTGTGCTGAGTGAAATTAGTCAGTCGCAAAAGGACAAATATTGTATGAGACCACTATTATAAGAACTCAAGAAATGGTTTAAACGCAGAAGAAACTGTTCATTGATGGTTACAAGGGTGGGGAGGAGGGAGAAGGGTATTCACTAACTAAATAGTAGATAAGAATTATGTTAGGTGAAGGGAAGGACAACGCACACTACAGGGGAGGTCAGCACAACTGCGCTAAACCAAAAACTAAGAGGTTTCCTGAATACAGCCAAACACTTCGAGGGACAGAGTAGCAGGGACCGGGGTCTGGAGACCATGCTTTCAGGGGACATCTAGGTCAATAGGCATAACAAAGTTTATTAGGAAAATGTTCTGCATCCCACCTTGGTGAGTGGCATATGGGGTCTTAAAAGCTTGCAAGCAGCCATCTAAGATACATCAATTAGTCCCAACCCACCTAGAGCAAAGGAACGTGAAGAACACCAAAGACACAAGGAAAATATTAGCACAAGAGAAAGGGCCACATAAACCAGAGACTGTCAGCCTGAGACCAGTAGAACTAGATGGTGCTCGGCTACCACCAATGACCTCCCTGACAGGGAACACAACAAAGAGTACCTGACGGAGCAGGAAAAAAGTAGGGTGCAGAACTCTAATTCTAGTAAAAAGACCAGACTTAATGGTCTGACTGAGACTGGAGGCACCCCGGAAGACATGGCCCCTGGACTCTCCGTTAGCCCAGAGCTGAAACCATTCCCAAAGCCAGCTCTTCAGACAAAGATTAGACTGGACTATGGGACATGAAATGTTACTTGTGAAGAGTGTGCTTCTTAGCTTAAGTAGATACATGAGACTAAATGGGCAGCTCCTGTTCAGAGGTGAGATGAGAAGGCAAAAAGGGACAGGAGCTGGTTGAATGGACACAGGAAATCCGAGGTGGAAAGGAAGAGTGTGCTGTCACATTATAGGGAGAGCAGCTAGGGTCACATAGCAATGTGTGTATAAAGTTTTATATGAGAAACTGACTTGAACTGTAAACTTTCACTTAAAGCACAAGTTTTAAAAAAAAATTGTGTTTTAGGTGAAAGTTTACAGTGCAAATTAGTTTCTCATTCAAAAATTTATACACAAATTATTTTGTGACATTGGTTACACTCCCCATGATATGTCAGCACTCTCCCCCTTTCCCTTTCTAGCCTGGGCTCTCTGTGTCCATTTGTCCAGTTCTTTTGTCCCCTTTCTGCCTTCTCATCTTAGGTTTTGGGCGGGTGTTGCTCGTTTAATCTTGTATACTTGATTGAACTGAGAAGCACATTCCTCATATGGGTTGTTTGTTTTATAGGCCTGACTAATCTTTGGCTGAAAGGTGGACTTAAGGAGTGGCTTCAGTTCTGAGTGACACTTTTTAAAAATACACATGCTTATGTCTGCAGGAGATTCTGATTTAGTGTACTGGGAAGGGGCCCTGCTGTCAGTATTTTTCAAGAGCTCCATAGATGATTCTAATATTTGTCCCCCAGTTGAAAAACACTGCTGTAGAAAATTTTGGCATTTCATTTTCTACTTAACTATTGATATTAGAGGACAAATTAACCATTCAAACTTTAGAAATGCCTCTTTATTGTTAGAACTTGCACCTGTATAACTCTATAATTTGATATAAAATGTTTATTGTATAAAAAGCTTTCTTTGTATTACAGCTACAGTTGATAAAAATGTGTATTCAGTACTTCTTACTAGTATGAAAGACAATGTATGAATACATATTAGACCTGCTATTTTCTAGATACATTTGCTGCCCTCATTGTGATGTTCATATTCCCCCAAAGATGCAATTTACCTCATATCATTTATGAGAAAATGAGCGAAATTGCTGTACACTACTATAAATCTAATCTGAGGAGCCTGTTTATTATGCCATATGGCATTAATGTGCTTGTTTTTTGTCTAATTGACTTTATACGCGTAGAAATACTATTACTTACTGCCTGTCTCCTCACTATCAGATTTTCCTAAGTTGTGGCAACATGTTTTCTGGACCAGTTTGAGTTCTTTACAGAAAGCTTAGTTCATTTCTCTCTAGCTTACTCACTTTTATGTTTTGAGTAATCCTTTCGCTAGGAATGGATGAGGTGGTATGGTAGGTCCTGTGCTGATAGCTTCTTTTGGATCATGACTTGGTATTGCCAGCCTTCTGTCAAAACTCTGTCCAGGGTTTCAGAACTTTTATACTGTTCTGTCTCTGAGTAGGGTCAGATTTACTGGTCCTTCTCTTCCAAAGCTAAAGTGAAGACCTCTCTTAATGCGTGATTTCCTTCTAAGACTAATGGGCTGATAACCATGGACTCACTGTCCTATCTTACCAAAAAGATTGGATTGATAAATCAAAGCATTCTTCCAGCCGTGTTATGCAGACCAATATAAAGTTGCCTCTGATTCATGATGTATTTTAAGCCTAAATCCAGCCATAATCAGTTACATAAGACTCTTCCAACAGATGTTCTGAGGAAGTTTTTTAATACGTAGACTGACACTTGTTTCAGTTTCTCATCATCTAAGATGGTTGTTGTTAGGTGTCATTGAGTCTGTTCCAACTCATAGTGACCCTGTGTACAACAGAACGAAACACTGCCCAGTCCTGTGCCATCTTTACAATCATTGTTGTGCTTAAACCCGTTGTTGCAGCCACTATGTCATTCCATCTTGTTGACGGTCTTCCTTTTTTTCCCTGACCCTCTACTTTACCAAGCATGATTCCTTCTCCAGGGACTGATCCCTTCTGACAACATGTCCAAAGTATGTGAGACGTAGTTTCGCCATCCTTGCTTCTAAGGAGCATTCTGGTTGTACTTCTTCCAAGACAGATTTGTTCATTTTTTTGGCAGTCCATGGTGTAGTCAGTATTCTTTGCCAACACCACAATTCAAAGGCGTCAGTTTTTCGGTTTTCTAAGATTAGATAATCACAAACAGAGCCCTGAGAAATTGTCTCTACTACCCCTTAGATGATAGAAAACGTATATTTAACTGAGAATTTAGTTTACATATGAATGAAATTCTGGTCCCCATGCTGTTTGAAACACTGTGCTTTAACTATGGTAATCATGTTTGTTTTTCAAATAAAAGTCTATGGTTAAGATGTTACGTAAGACTTGGACTCAGTACTATCACTGGATGATCTTAAACAAATTATTCTAACTTCTAGTATTACGAATCTATAAAATGGTCAATATGGTTATTTTAAAGTACCTTCTCTAAAATGTGAATTATAAATGTATAGGTAGAAATCAGCCATCTCAAAGCAAGACAGATTGCGCTACAAGAGCAGTTGCTGAAGCTGCAGTCAGCCACTCAGTCAGTACCTTCAGGAGCTGTCCAGGGACCATCAACCACTGCATTGCCTTCATTCGGTTATGGTGTGAGTCATCATGCTTCAGCTTTCCGTGACGATGACATGGACTTTGGTGACATAATTTCATCACAACAGGAAATAAACAGATTGTCAAATGAAGTTTCCAGGCTTGAGTCTGAAGTTGGTCACTGGAGGCATATTGCTCAGGTAGGTAAAATTGTCATGAGTTTTTGAAAACTGGGATTGAGTAAAAGTACTGATGATAAATGCAGTGCAATAGCCTTTGGTATCAGAAAGAACTCTGGACTAGGAAATAGAAAACTTGTATTCTAGTTCTGCCAGTGACTTTCTAAGTGATTTTGGTCAGGTCGTCTCACTTTCTCAGCCGCTGTTTTCCCTTCTGTACAATGTTTGAGAGAGATTCCAAAAAAATTTTTTTGAAGCACCAGAACTTTTCCTCCATCCCCTTTGGAATAATATAAAGTGACAAGCCTAGGATTAAAAGAGATCACAGTGGAGTTGCTCTGGTTGAACCAGCACCTTTCCCCTGGAGTTGCCATGGCTCCACTGCTGAAACGCCAGGCCTTCAAGGCGTCAGGTTTGAACCCATTCACTGAGAACACACTGAGGCACCTGTTAGTTCTAGTTACATGGAACGTGAACGTTGGCTATTTGGTGCCATAAAACAAGTTACAGTATTCATTATTGTTTTTCATGCCTTCCTTAAAAATTAAATTCTTTCTACCTTGGGCTTTAAACTTTTTTCCAAGGAACCTTTTTGTCTTATATATCAGATTTTATATACTGTTGAGGTTGTTAATGGACATGAGACCCAAAATAAACTTGAATGAATATTGTTCACTTGGATATAACGCTATCAATGGAGACAAAAACAAACTATATAAGTAAAGATATTACTTTTTGTGAATGTAATCTAGTTAAAAAAAAAATCCCAATTAAAATTATCTTCTTGCTTCCCAAGTTGCTAGATATTGCTAACACCCTAAATAAACCCTAGAGAGGATAATCTCTTTGCTGTCTGATCTCCAGACAGTAGTAGTTCTTAAACTTTGTATGTGTAAGAATAACCTGGGGAGCTTGATTATATTGAAGATTCCCTGTTGTATCTTCAGAGATTTTTATTTAGTAGCTTATTTTAGAGGTAAATACCCCAGGTGATTCTCATAATCTGAGGAACACATTTTAAGAAACATTGCTTCGGGTAAGATTTCACAGGGAAGAGATCGGGTTTTGGTATGTTCACTTCAGCATATTTTGAGTGCCTGCTGTATGACAGGCCTGACTGAGATGTAAAGGTGAAACAAGGCATAATTGGGACCTCTCGGGGACGTAATTTTCTAGCAAGGAATAATAAAAATTGATGTTTGTATTACACTTTACAAAATGCTTCTGTGTATATTATCCCAGAATATATTATCCTTAATAATTTACTCTGTTTTGCAGATAAGGAAACTAAAAGTTTAGGTAATGCATTGTCATAATGATTAGGCTATGATTCAAATACACATCCTTTGATTCCAAATCCTGTGTTCTCTTCATTACACTGTGTTCCTTATCTAGCTATAGGGCAGCTTTTGGTTCGTTAACACTCTCTTTAGTCAATGTAGAGGAGCCCTGTTGGTGCCGTGGTTTAGTGCGTAGCTGCTAACCCAAAGACTGGCAATTTGAACCCACCATCTGCTTCCTGGGAGAAAGATGTGAGTCTGCTTCTGTAAAGATTTAAAGTCTTGGAAAGCCTATGGGGCAGTTCTGCTCTGTCCTATGAGTTGGAATCGGCTTGACAGCAACTGGTTTGTTTTTGGTTTATACTAAATGTTAATAAAGATAAATGAACAACATACAGCCTTGAGTGAGAAGAAAAGAATCCAAATGTTCTTTTATTTACTTGTCAAACCAAAGGTTTTTCTTTACTGAGGTAGAGATCTTCTGAGTAAAGTCATTTAACAGAGATTTTTACCTAGGTATTATTAATATTGGTTAACTTTCCATTTTAGAATTTTCCTTTTAGAAGAATGCTAGATTATCATCAAACTTACATTTTGTCAAGCTAAGTAAAACATTATATGGTTTTTTTCCCTCTTTGGTTATTTTGTGAAATGTCATCTTCCCAGTTAGTTAACAAACTTTGAAATGATACCTTTGTTTATTGTGTATTATTCACCATTGGATTGGGTGCTTTAAAAAAGTGCTTGGCATTCTTTAACCAAACTCTGTTGGAAATGTTCCTTTTTTTTTTTTTTTTTTTAGTTAGTTTGTGATTCTATTATAGAAGAAAAATGAATATAATTATTTTCTAATTCTGTTTTTCTGACTTAGAAAACGACAGCACAAGGAGCAGATAGTTCTGATCAAAGTGAAATCTGCAAACTGCAAAGTACCATCAAGGTAAGGCAGATAGTTGGGAAACTGGCTGTTAGGCATCCAAAATCTGCTTATTAAAAGCATAGGCTTAAATTAGTAAAAAGTTCAGTTATGAAAGTAATTATATAGATTAAGATACTTATTTCTTTTTCACTATTTTGTATCCTCTTTATTCTTATGACAAGTAAGGTACATAAAAATAACCTCTTTCCAAAATTGTTTGGTTTTGAACATGTATTTATTAAGTACTTTATATTTCATAAGTCTCTAATCGCTACTGTATCTCACAGAACTATCTTTGCTAAACTCAGAATCTCAACGTTGCTTAAGTTTCAAAGTTTAGGATTAAAAGGATAGTCATAAAATGCAATGCCAGTATTACTCACTCTAAATAATCATTTTACCCTTGTGGTTGAATTTTGCTAGTTTGTGTCAATTATTATATCTTTCAAAAAAAGCCTTAGTTACATACCTTTATCATTTGCACTGAATTGTTCTTAGTGTGGAGATTATTGTCAGGTACAGAATTTTTAATTTTTGATCTTAGTGTTATTACAATACTGGGGTGGATGGGTTCAAGAATCAGACCTGTGTTTGAATTCTGGCTCTTCTATTTACCATCTGTGCTACTTTGGGCAAATTACTTAACCCTTCTAACCCTCCATTTTCTCATCAGTAAAGATAATCTTAATACCTATACTGTAGGATTGTTTTGAGGTCTAAATATAAGACTTAACTCAGTATCTGATACATTATTAAAGAATAACTTTCATTTCTGTTCTCAGGAAATTCAAACTAATTTATAGATTAGGATTCTTGGTTAAACCAACAAAAACCATCTCTGGCTAAGTAAAGTAAAAGAGGATATACTGGAAGGACCCAGGGTAGTCCACAGCATTGAAGGAGGAGTTGAACATTCTGGCCTCAGGAAGGACAAGGATGAAAACATCATCAGGGATCTGGATAGCAGGACACAGTGGACAGTCTCTTCAGGGTTCAGCTCTCGTAGTGCTGTGGTACAGCTCAGCTCACAATCCAGGTTCCTGGGAGAGAGACTGGCATTCTCAACTTGGGTGGCAGAGCACCTTGGTTGTCAGTTTGCGAGTCCCATCAGGACTGATTGAAGGAAAGACTGAGTGAGACGAGGGTAGCCGAAGAAGTAGGAGGTGCAGATTGGCCGGAGGGTTGACACTGGTGTTAGTGGAATACATTATTAGGAGGAGGGTAAGCTCATGGTCACAGACACTAAGCAAAAAAGAATTTTTTACTCATCTTTCAGTTGTTTCTTGCTGAGGTCCCCTCAGTAGAAAAACTTTTTCCAAAGAGGAAAAGGTAGAGTCTTTCAGAATTTTCCTCATTTTGGGCCTGTGTTTAAATTCTTTTCAGCCTGTGTGTACAGAGAACAAATAATAGGGACTTTTGGACAATAGTGATATAAATAGTTGAGGGAAATTCTTTGATCATAAATGTGGTTAACTTTGTGTTTATATTTTTTAAGGAACTTAAACAGAATCGAAGTCAGGATATTGATGTCCATCAGCATGAAATGTCAGTATTGCAGAATGCACATCAGCAGAAATTGGCAGAAATAACTCGTCGGCATCGAGAAGAGTTAAGTGATTATGAAGAACGAATTGAAGAACTTGAAAATCTGCTACAGCAAGGTTATTAGTTTTATTAGTGGTCTTAACAGATGATATAATTAAATGATACATCTAGCACTCTAAGACCAGGACATGGCTGCAGACATGGACTAAGTTTTAAAGACTGTATGAATGACTAGTTCTGCTAGCCTGCCAAAAATCGGTAATGGCAAGATAATGCAACAATGAAAAGGTCATTTTGCCTCTGTAATAGTTATAATCCATAGATTTCTTTGTATTTTTTGGTGATGATGGTTTAGTAATAAATGATTAGGGACATTTTCACTTTCTTTCAAACTCAGATACATGGGTTTTTTTAGTAGTCGATTCAAATAATATCTTACCTCAACTTTTTATTTAAAAATGCTTAGTTTATCATGAAGTCCCTGGGTGGTGCAAATGGTTAACACACTCGGATGGTTGACCAGAAGGTTGGAAGTTCAAGTCCACCCAGAGGTGCCTCAGAAGAAAGGTCTGGCGATCTACTTCCAAAATACCAACCATTGAAAACCTTACAGAGCACAGTTCTGCTCTGACACACGTAGGGTCACCATGAGTCGGAATTGTCTTGAAGGCAACTGGTTTTGTTCATTACAGTAATTTAATATTTCTTTGTAAGCTTTTCAAGTTCTGAAGTCTGTTAAGCCTTTTGGTTGTATATAGCAAGCTGTTTATCACTTGATACTTGACATTTGATGTCCTGGATTTTATGTTTGTTTTCTAGGTGGGTCAGGAACTGGAATAACTGATCACTCTAAAATTCATGAGATGCAAAAGACTATTCAGATTCTACAAACTGAAAAAGTGGAGTCTACAAAAAAAATGGAAGAACTTGAGAATAGAGTAAAAGACATAAGTAAAAAATTATCTTCTGTGGAAAACGACAGAGAGGTTTTAAGGAGAGAACAAGAACTGCTAAATGTGGAAAAGAGACAAATAATTGAAGAATGTGAAAGCTTGAAACTGGAATGTAGTAAATTGCAGTCTGATGCTGTGAAGCAGCGTGACACTGTGACAGAAGAGGAAAGAATTCTTCCACAGAGCACATCAGTGGAGGAAGAGGTGTTCCGGCTACAACAGGCGCTGTCTGGTATAAAATGTTTGGAACTCATTTCAGATTGGTGTTTCATTGCGTACTAGTTGTTTTTAGAGGCAGAATGGCCTGTGAAATAAACACTTGAATAACTGAATACTTCTTAGAAATGGAGTATTCATGGAAATGACTGTGGAGTTTGAGTAGGATTGTTTTGGATTCAGTGCCATAGTCAGTAGGTCGCAAATAGGCATTTTCTACTAAAAGGGTTAAGTATTGGCTAGATATCGTAACTTCTTTTCCTCATCTTTTAAATTTTTATGTGGAACTAGTTGATTTATGAGGCCATGTAGGTTTCTGAGAAATGTTTATGTACCTTTGCATTTTTGGGAGGAGGTGGGGGTCTGTCTCTGTTAATCTACATAGAACTGAATGCTTTCTGTGACTCACCAGGGCCCCGACTCTCCGGTTAGGGAGTGAAACCTTCTTTAATAATCTATGTTGTCTTTGGAAATTCAACCAAAAACTAAACCCATTGCCATTGAGTTGATTCCAACTCATAGCAACCCTATAGGACAGAGTAGAACTGCCCTATCGGGTTTCCAAGGAGTGGCTGGAGGATTTGAACTGCAAAGTTTTAGTTAACAGCCGAGCTCTTAACCACTGGGTCACCAGGACTCCTTTTGGAAATTCTCTCATCTATATCTTGCCTATATCTGTAGGGTCATTATGAGTCAGAATCGACTCCACGGCAACAGGTTTTTATATCTAAGCAAAGACCTGAGTGATAAGAGCCATGGGTCTTCCACCATCTTCTGTGCTCAACATGATATTTAGTTTACTGTACCAGTGTTCTGTGCTACAAAAATAATTGTTAAATGAAATATGCCAAACTCCAGTGTTCACTCCTGCCAGAAAACATAACAGGAGCTCTTTAGATGAGGGGATGCCTTTTGTATTGTTCTTTGTCATTTTTTCACAGTACAAAGTCTCGCCTTATGAACTCTTTCATTTTTGCTCTGGAAGTTTCCAGCCCTTATGTACTTGTGAACCTCCATATCTGTATCCCTCACCCAGGTGTTTATTATGGATGGCCAACTCTGTTTACATCATATGGGTGTTCAAATTAAAGTTGGGTTCAAAGAAGAATCACCATGTCTTCCTTCCCCTTTCCCTGTCTAGATGATTGGCAGCATTTACCAGCCACCCAAAACAGAAAGCCCCAAGTCATCTCCTAGCAAGTCCTGTAGGTTCTATTTCCTTAGCTTCTCCCTGGTTCAGTCATATTTCAAGATTGTATGCCAGAGGAGCTCTAGGGCTTCTCATAGGTGCCTCAGTCCTAGGAGCTGCCATCCAGGCAAACGGAAGGCTGTGTGGTGGGGTTCTGGACTGCTTTCTCACTTGGCTTCAGTCAAAGTTTGTCTTTAAAAAACAAACAACTAAATGAATAAAGTTTATTTGTTTTACGTATTAGGTGATCACTATGCATTTGTTGCTTAAAAACAAACCTATTGCCCTAGTCCCTCCTTCCCTTTTTTTTCCATTTCCACTGCCATGGAATTGTGTCAGCCACTCATAGTTTCCTTCTTGCCTGGATAACCAGCAAATCTGTTAATGGTGCAGAATAGCATAGTGGTTAAGACCATGACTGGGTGGGATCCAGCTCCATCACTAACAGCTACTTTGAGAAAGTTAGTTATCATCTCTATGCCTTGACTGTTTTTCATCTGTAAACTTGGGATAATACTACTAGCTTCCTCGTAGTTGTTTTATGAGGATTATATGAGTTACTAGCTGCAGAGTTCTCTTTAGAACAGTGTCTGGCACATAGCATAAAAGTGTTAGCTGTTGTGATTCTCTGGTCTCCATGATTCCTTCTTCAATTCATATTTCTCATTGTGCAGCCAGAGTGATTTTTCAAAAATGCAAAGCAGGTTACTCCCCGGCTTACTACTTCTGTGACTCCCTGTGGACCTCAAGATAAAAAGTCTAAACTTCTCAGTTGGGCAGATAATGTCCTTCACGATCTGGTCCCTTTCTCTCTATTCACTTTCACCTCTTCCATTCTCTTAACCTTCTAGCCTTTACTCGTATTGGGCTTTCTATAGCTCCTTGAACCAGCAATGATTTCTCTCAGCTCAGTTGCCTTTGCTGCTCACTCGCTCTCCCTGTGGAGTGTGTGTTTCTCCTTTCAGCTAACTCAGTATATTAAGATTCAGCTCAGGCGTTACCTCTATTGGGAGGTACCTAGCACTGCCACCTCCCACGTCCCCCCCACTCCCTTCCCTGGTCTAGATTAGATGCATCCCCATTTTGGCCTCCTAGCACCTTGTGCTCCCTGTATCACACTGTATTGTAATCATGTGTTTACTTGTTTGTCTTCCCCTCTAAGTTGTAGCTCCTTGAGAGCAAGGACTAAATTTTTCCATCTTGTCTAGCACCTGGCCTCATGCTAAATGTCATTAACATTTCCTGAATGAATATTGAATGAATTGCTTCAACTGAACTCCGGGTGTTCTGTTTTTATGTCCCTCTTCCATTTGTGGATTTATCCATAATATCAGATTGAACAATCTTTTTGTCAGTAGTCATGTCTAAATTATTTTTAGATACCACTATTGTGATATAAATACACATTTATTGTTTTTGAGTTTTTCCCCCATTTTAGTCTTTATATTATTTTTTGGTACCCAAACTAGTCAACTCATTTTGAAACATAATTGTTGTTGGTATTTTTATCAAGGCAATAACTTTTGACTCATCCAGAATGCAATTATAATTCTTTGTTAGTATAGTATTCCATAGAATTGGGTTTTAACTTGCTTTCCTATTATGATTTCTTTGATACAGGCAAAATAGAATATAACACAAGTATGTTTCACTCAGAACTGTCAGAACTTGCTAATTGTGTTTGCTTATAAATAGACTTTATTTTAACTGAATTTTGTTTCTGAGTTTAACATGGGTCATTATAATTGAGTTATTTTGAAGATTTTTAATATCAAATACATTCATTTGTTTTTACAGATGCTGAAAATGAAATAATGAAACTGAAAAGCTTAAACCAGGTAAACTCATTTTAAGAGAGAAAGCTTTTGGCATTAGCTTACTAAAGAAAGTACTATGATTTATCACAGTTGCTTATTTTGTGCTTTCTACACATACATGCAAACTTGCCTTAGGAAGTTTCATCCCAGTAATTCTATGTGTGCTGATTAGTAACAGAAACTTTTTGTACCATGTATCACTGTAATTGGAAAAAGTTGCATAACTGAAAAATGAAGGTATTTGAAAGATAAATTTGACAATTGCTATGTATGTAGAAGCAGTGGAAGCAGATCCTATACCAAAGCAAGGAATGCATTTTGATTTCTCTTAAAAAATTCTTTTTTCTAACGAGTACAGATTATAAATATATTTTATGTTTTTTCAAATGTAATAAATTCTAATATCTGTTAAATATGTTGACTGGCTTTAAATGGTCCAGCTTATAATTTTTAATATATCACTAAAGAACACTGAGTGGAAAAATACAATTGTGTAATGCGCTTGCTTTTTCGTAAACTTGAAATTTTTGTTACTTATCTGAAAACAGACTGTTTTCACATTTTTGTAGGATAGCAGTCTCACTGAAGACAATCTGAAACTTGAGAAGCATGTCCAAGCTTTAGAAAAAGAGAATTCATTACTGAGTCAGGAAAAGGTGGGTGCTGTGAAAATGGGAGCAGAATTGAAATGGTGTGCATATTATAGATCACAGCTAAGGACCAAGTATGTATCAGAATGGAGTATTTAGTTATTGAGAATCCTGAGGATAAAGCTGATCTCACTGATGCTTGTCAGGCCAGGTTAAAGAACCTGAGCAAGGTTCAGAGTATGAGAGGCTGGCCAGAGTTTATGTTTAGAGATAAGTCATGTGGGCACACAGATATGAGCAGAACAGATATACTAAAGGCCTTGTTTTGGTTTCAGATGAGGACCCGTGTACACAGGTGGGTGGGGAGGTCTGGAATGGCATACTGTGTCATACCTGTTTATACTGCTTATATGTGCCAGAATGTGTGCACTGTGATAGACTGGATTTTCTTAGTGGTGAGGTGGAAAGATGTGGGGTTGGTAGCAAAGATGGAATAAGATACTGTAATGCAGTGTTGGTATCATCCCGTTGCCTTTGAGTCAATTCTGACTCATAGCGACCCTAAAGAACAGAGTAGAACTGCCCCATAGGGTTTCCCAGGAGTGGCTGGTGGGTTCGAACTGCTGACCTTTTGGTTAGTAGCCAAGCTCTTAAACACTGTGCCACCAGGTCTCCAGTGTTGGTATGGAGAGGAATATTTCTGTGTTTGTATTACTTGGGGATAGTTCCATGGCTATGGCAGGTGCTTAAATATAGGACAGTTATGGGCTGGTGTTACTAAGTTAAAGACTAGTGTCTCAACTCAATGTAAATTCGTTTTTTATTTTTTAAGTTAATACGTAACATGAAAAAAAATCAGATAGTACAAGTATCCTTCGCACCTCTATTGCTTGGCCTCTTCCCCATAGGCAGTCCCTGTTACCAGTTTTAGGTATATCTTTCTACGCTGTATCTATACATATATGTAAATTGCTTTTTTAAACAACCAGAATTATCAGCGTACTGTTCATACATACCTTAACATTATATCTTGGACATTGTTCTGTATTAGTATATAAGCAGTGTTTCTCAAAGGGGGCACTACTGGCATTTAGGTGGATGAATTCTTAGTTGTGTGGACTATCCTATGCATTTTAAGATCCTTTGCCCTCACTCTTTTTAGCCACTAAAACACTGGTTGTGTCTCCCAGTTATTTTAACAACCAAAATGCCTTCTTGCTTTTCCAAATCCCCCGTAGGCGGTGCTCTTTTTACTGGGTTATATATATATTTCCCCTGATCTGTTTCCACTGCCATTGCTGTCTACTCTTTCAGTTATTCTTTTCTCTAACTGGCCTAAGTGTATTTTGTAATTTGTAGAACTCTCTGCACATATCTGGTAGGGCCTGTAACCCTCTCATGATAGTTTTGGATAGGGAAGACTCTCAAATGGGAAAGTATTTTTAGAAAGAGGAAGTTGGAGCTAGAAGACATTTATAAGTCATTGCATCTTGACTAGGGTTATAGAAATGTTTTGCTTGAAGCTACAAATAAAATTGCACATGAATGTTGAAGGGTGTGATTTGCTTAGTGAATTTTACACATCATTGAGGTGTTGCTCAATGTTTCCCATAAAGAGCATTTAGAATAGATTTCCAAGTTAAATGTGTGTGTGTGTGTATATATATATTTAAATCTTTTGATGTCGCTTCTTCCAATTAACAGTATGTGTTGCTTTTTTTCCTCTTTATTATTTAAGGAAGAACTTCACATATCACTTTTAAAACTGAACAGTGAATATGAAGTAATTAAAAGTACAGCTACACGAGACATGACTTTGGATTCAGAGTTAAATGATTTAAGACTTAATTTGGAGGCAAAGGAACAAGAACTCAATCAGAGTATTACTGAAAATAAAATATTAGTAGCTGAGTTAGAAGAATTGGACAAACAGAACCAAGAAGCTACCAAGGTAACACTATAGCAAAAGCAATGAGGTAGCACATTCTACTCAGTAGACTGAACACTGCAAGTAAACATGATGGATGCAGTTTAATTTTGTTATTAATATTTTAGTTCATCGATGCTCTGGTCACAAGGGTTGGCAAACTTATTCTGTAAAGTGCTAGAGAGTAAATATCTTAGGCTTCGTAGGCCGTATAGTCTCAGTTGCAACTATTCAACTCTGTTGTAATGTGAAAATAGCTATAGATAAAATGTAAGCAAGTAAGCATGGCTGAGTGCTGATGAAACTTTATTTGGGAAAACAAGTGATAGGCATGATTTGGCCCTAGCGTGTAGTTTGCTGACCCTGCTCTAGTGTTTAGGAAATAAACAACAGGTATATAGCATTTACCTTCTTTGGTGTTAAATTCTTTAAAATGATACAATGGATTTGCTGTAAGGTATTAGTTAATAGTTTTGTAGGAGATACTGAGAATTTAAAAAATGAGTTTTTTTTAAGAAGAATTAGAACTATCTCAGGATTATTTTATTATGTATATTTTATAACATTTTCTTTTAAGTACTAAAACGAGAAGATTTTAAATTTACCTTGCAAATTAATTTTTCCTTCAGCACATGATTTTGATGAAAGATCAACTATCAAAACAGCAAAATGAAGGCGATAACATGATTAGTAAACTAAAACAAGATATACATGATGAAAAAAAGAGAGTTCATCAACTTGAAGATGATAAAATGAACATTACTAAAGAGTTAGGTGTGCAGAGAGAAAAGTTAATTCAAAGTGAACTGGCCCTTAATGATTTACATTTAACCAAACAGAAGCTTGAGGATAAAATAGAAGATTTAGTAGATCAGCTAAATAAGTTGCAGAAAAATAATCTAAACATCCAGAAGGAGAACTTTGAACTTAAGGAACATATTAGACAGAACGAGGAGGAGCTTTCTAGCGTCAGGAATGAGTTAACTCAGTCTCTTGGTCAAGACTCTAACAGTAACTTGAAGGATGATTTACTTAAAGAAAGGGAAGCTGAAGTTCGAAACTTAAAGCAAGATCTTTCAGAAATGGAACAGATCAATGAAACTTTAGAGAAAGTTGCTTTTGATCTCAAAATGGAAAATGAAAAGTTGGTTTTAGCATGTGAAGATGTAAGACATCAGTTGGAGGAATCTCTTGCTGATAAGAGTCAGATTTCTCTGGAAAAAGACACCATTGTGGAGGCTCTAAAGTTGGAAAAAGGACAGTTAGAAGCGGAATTATGTCAGGCTGAAAAGAGGTTGTTGGAAAAAGCAAACAAGTATGAGCAAACCATTGAAGAACTAACAAATGCTCGTAACCTGAACAGCTCGGCTTTACAGCTGGAACATGAGCATTTAATCAAACTCAGTCAAGAGAAAGACTTTGAAATATCAGAACTCAAAAAGAATATTGAGCAGGTAAATGCTGATCATCAAGTAAGTAAGGAAGTCTTGTCATCTAGTTTAGAAGAACAGAAGCAATTGACCCAACTTATAAAAGAGAAAGAAATGTTTATTGAAAAGCTTCAAGGAAGAAGCTCAGAGCTTCAGGACGAATTAGATAAATATACTCAGGCCTTAAGAAAAAGTGAAATTTCAAGGCAAACCATAGAGGAAAAAGACAGAAGTCTTGCATCCATGAAAGAAGAAAACAATCATCTGAAAGAAGAACTGGAACGGCTCCGGGAGCAGCAGAGCCGAGCTACACCTGTGGCTGAGCCTAAATCACTAGACGTTATTACAGAACTGGAATCTGAGGTGTCTCGGCTGAATATAATAAAAGGTGACCTTGAGGAGGAAATAAAACATTACCAAAAGATAACTGAAGATCAAAACCAGAGTGAGATGCAGCTACTTCAGTCTGTACAAGAGCAGAAAAAGGAAATGGATGAGTTCAAATACCAGCATGAGCAAATGAATGTCACACATACCCAGCTCTTTTTAGAGAAAGATGAGGAAATTAAGAGTTTGCAGAAGACAGTTGAACAAATCAAAACCCAGTTGCATGAAGAAAGACAGGACATTCAAACAGAGAATTCTGATATTTTTCAAGAAACAAAAGTTCAGAGCCTTAATATAGAAAATGGGAGTGAAAAGCATGATTTATCTAAGGCTGAAACTGAAAGATTAGTGAAAGGAATAAAAGAACGAGAATTGGAGATTAAACTTCTAAATGAAAAGAATATATCTTTGACTAAACAGATTGATCAGCTGTCCAAAGATGAGGTTGGTAAACTAACTCAGATTATCCAGCAGAAAGATTTGGAGATACAGGCTCTTCATGCTAGGATTTCCTCAGCTTCCTACACCCAAGATGTTGTTTACCTTCAACAGCAACTGCAGACCTATGCTATGGAAAGAGAGCAAGTATTAGCTGTTTTGAGTGAGAAAACTAGGGAAAATAGCCATCTGAAAACAGAATATCACAAAATGATGGATATAGTTGCTGCCAAAGAAGCAGCCCTCATTAAGCTGCAAGATGAAAATAAAAAATTGTCTGCAAGATTTGAAAGTAGCAGCCAGGATATGTTTAGAGAAACTGTTCAGAATTTATCACGTATCATTCGAGAAAAAGACATTGAAATAGATGCATTAAGTCAGAAGTGCCAGACTTTACTGACGGTTCTACAGACATCCAGCACTGAAAATGCGGTTGGAAGCGTTAATAGTAATCAGTTTGAGGAGCTTCTACAGGAGCGTGATAAACTGAAACAGCAAGTGAAGAAGATGGAAGAGTGGAAACAGCAGGTGATGACCACAGTACAAAATATGCAGCATGAGTCTGCCCAACTTCAGGAGGAACTTCATCAGCTTCAGGCACAGGTTTCAGTTGACAGTGATAATAATTCTAAATTACAGGTGGATTATACCGGCCTGATCCAAAGTTATGAACAGAATGAAACCAAACTCAAAAATTTTGGTCAGGAATTAGCACAAGTTCAGCACAGCATCGGACAGCTTTGCAATACCAAGGACCTTCTTTTAGGAAAACTGGATGTTATTTCACCACAGCTGTCCTCTGGATCTTCACTCAGTTCCCCGTCAGCAGAACCTCTGAGGGCAAGTAAGTCTGATCAGTTGAGTGAGTCCTCTAAATTGCTTCAACAAGAGATAGAAGAGCTAAGAAAATCACTGCAGGAAAAAGATGCCACAATTAGAACTCTCCAGGAAAATAATCACAGATTGTCTGATTCAATTGCTGCCACCTCAGAGCTAGGAAGAAGAGAACATGAACAGACTGATTCTGAAATTAAGCAGATAAAGGAGAAACAAGACGTTTTACAAAAGTTACTTAAGGAAAAAGACCTCTTAATCAAAGCCAAAAGTGATCAGTTACTTTCTTTAAATGAAAATTTCACTAACAAAGCAAATGAAAATGAACTTTTGAGGCAGGCAGTAACAAACCTGAAGGAGAGAATATTAATTTTAGAAATGGACATTTGTAAACTAAAAGAGGAAAATGAAAAAATTATAGACGCGTCCAGGGGAAAGGAAACAGAATATCAAGCATTGCAAGAGACTAATATGAAGTTTTCTATGATGCTGCGTGAAAAAGAGTTTGAAAACCATACAATGAAGGAGAAGGCTCTTGCTTTTGAGCAACTGTTGAAAGAAAAAGAACAGGTATGTTTTGGATGGGGTATTGTGGAGGAAAATTGGAGTGGAGGAGAATTTTCTAATGTGTTATTTACGTTATTGATATTGTCTTTGAAGAGGAATTTGAATTTACTCGTTTAGAAATATTGTTTTCAAGGTATAGGCAGTCCCTGGATTACGAATGTCCAGCTGACATACAACCCGTAGTTAGGAACCAACCCCTGTAAAGCCTATTACATTAAAAACTCAAGGTACGTACAATGGTTTGTAATAACAAAGGGGAGCTACTTTGTGTGTGACACCCATCAAAACATTATTACTGTTTTAGTGTATCTGGAAGTATTTCTTTAATGTTTTTGATGCATAGAAAGGTACACTATATACTGTATACTAAGACAGACATTTGACTGACGTTAGACACGAACCATACGTGTTTCAACTTACGCACAAATTCAGCTTAAAGACAGACTTAGAACAGAGCTTGCTCATAATCCGGAAGCTGCCTGTATTGTAATTTGTTGTAAATAAATTTTCCTCAGAGGCATCTAGGAGTTTCTCCCAAAAATTACTAGATAACTCCCCCAAATTACTAGATCACTCCCCAAAATTACTAAATAACTCCCAAATATTTTTTATGCTAGGTTAACTTTTTACAGCCTGTTAAATAGAATTTAGTAGTAATTAATACTTTTTTTTAGAAAATAGAAATGTGTTATAAAAGGGAATTTTGAAGTCACCGCAGTATAATCAAATTTTAGGTATATTTTAGAAACTGCTAGTAATGGTTAGCATTGTAGGGATTCTTATATGTAAAGGGAAGCACTGTGAAACATACTCCGTACTACACCCTAAGTACCTTTCACCATGATATGCAGTAAGAAATACATTTAACATTGTGACCTAGTATGTGTATGCGTGCGTGGATGCCTGTGTGTGTGTAAAATGGAAACAAAAGTTACAGGAACCAGAAATTACCCTTACTATGTGTGATATTCTGTTTAAAAAAAAAGCAAAGATAAAAAGAAAAGTCATAAATGGGTTTTTATGAGTCATCAATTCAGAGTCAACCTGGAATTTGAAAAGTGTTAGTTGTGAGATGTGCTTTTCACGTATTTGTTGGGTGCTGGCAAGTTGATTCTGACTCACAGTGACCCCACGTGGCGAAGTACAACTGCCCCATGGGGTTTTCTTGGCTGTTATCCTTACAGAAGCAGATCACCAGGTCTTTCTCCCACAGAGCCACTGGGTGGGTTTGAATTACCAACCTTTTGGGTTAGCAGCCTAGCACTTAACTGCACCACTGGGCTCCTTTTTCACAAAGTAGGCTCAGTAAATATTCCTATTCCAGCTTTTCAGTAAAGTATTTTTTACCTTATTGGCTTGTTTATTCAACTCTTTGGAAAATTTTGGCCTCACTGTCTAGGAGGAGGTGTTGAAATAAAAAGAACAGATGGTTTTACATTTCGGTTTCAATGATTTGTCCTGCGGGACAAATTATATATTCTTTAAAGAAAGGGAAAGTTTATGTGAAAACTCAATACTAAACTATAAATAGATTCATTTGATATGCATATTTAAAATAGAGAAAAGAATTAGCTGTAAATAGCCTGATACTTTTTTTGTGCCCTTTAGAATTCCAGCTGTTACCTAAACGAAGGACCCAACTTTTGCAGTGAAGGGTTATCTTTTTTCTGCTGCTGTTAATATATTATGCTTGTATGGAATGCATTCAGGAATAAATTTCTGTTACTCTCTAGCAAGATATCCTTTTAAAGTTGCTTTCATTTAATTGTTGCCAGTATGTTCTTTTAAAATAGGCAGTGCATATTAAATGACTTGCCTTCTCTCCTCTGCCAGCTGCTTGACACTGTTACTTTGTCTGACAACAATTGTGTATGCCTAGTAGCGGATTTTTATGGTTGATTAAACACAACCACACTTTTTTTGGGTGATTTTGTAGTGTGTGAGCTTTTACATTACTGTGTTACATTTGTCCCAGTTTAATGAGCCGATATAGATACGTTTTTATTAACTAAAGTTCCTGCTGTAGTCAGATTTCTTTAATTTTAATCAAATGCCCTTTTCCTGTTCCAGGATCTCATCCAGGATCTCACATTTAGTTGTCATGTCTCTTTAGGCTTCTCTAGACTGTGACAGTTTCTCAGACTTTTCTTGTGGGTTTTTTTTTTTTTTTTTGGATGATCTTGACATAGTTAACTATATTTTTAAGTTTAAGTTAAGTTCTAAAGAAAATATCTTTTAAATTGTATTTTTCTTTAAAGCTAAAGTTGTTTCTTTCCAAAAGGGCAACACTGGGGAGTTAAATCAGCTTTTAAATGCAGTTAAGTCAATGCAGGAGAAAACAGTTCTGTTTCAACAGGAGAGAGACCAAGTCATGTTGGCCCTGAAACAGAAACAAATGGAAAACAGCGCCCTACAGAATGAGGTATACTTTCACTTTCACTTCAAAGGGACAGTGCGTCAGACAATAAGTTTAATAACTATTAAATAAGAAAACAGGAAAGATAATCAATTAAAATGAATTTATCTCTCAGGTTATTTTAGTTTTTCTGTGATTATGGTGTGGTAGGATTTTGATCTCCCAGGGTGTATTTTATTTCAGTTTTCAAAAGTGAAAACCATGGCATATCTTGGCTATAGGAAAAATTTCACACTCGTAAAGTGGGAAAAAAAGATTTACTGAAAAAAGTGGTCTACCACAAAGAGCCCAGCACTTATTTATAATTCCATTTTCCATTATAGCCATGGGGGTTGAGATCTTACAAGGTCAGACTTCAGATGAAGATTCAAGGTGATTTCGGTATAATTTTTCCTAGCATAGATACATCTTGCAGTATGAGAAATTAGTATACATTTAATACACTTAACTGGAATGGACAAAAGATTTGATAACAGAGTGGTTTGCAGGGGGAAAATGGGAGCATTTTGTAGAAGAAAAATAAAGAAATGTCCTCTACCTAGGTTCAGCATTTACGGGACAAAGAATTACGCTTAAACCAGGAGCTAGAGAGATTGCGTAACCATCTTTTAGAATCAGAAGATTCTTATACCCGCGAAGCTTTGGCTGCAGAAGATAGAGAGGCTAAACTAAGAAAGAAAGTCACAGCATTGGAAGAGAAGCTGGTTTCATCCTCTAATGCAATGGAAAATGCAAGGTAACTTTTATTTTTTAGTGTTAACTTTAATCAAGCACTTCTTGAATGTCAGACTTGATACGCATTTTTCATATGTCAGCTCATTTTATTCTCACAAAATTCATTATCTCCATTTCACAGATGAAGAAACTGAGGGTAAAGAGTAACCTGCCCAAGGTCACACACACAGTGTGTGTGGGTTTCCCACTTGTGACTGTGACTCTTAACAAGATCTGGCATTCAAACCGAGATTTGTCTGAATCCTACCATCACCCTAGATAATGGCCTCTCATCATTGTAGGAGTTGAATTCTGACTGAATTAGCTTTGTCAGGCTCCCCAAAAACTAATTTATGTGATTTCGTGTGTAGCCCAGTAATCTAAGGTTGAATTAGGTGTGGATATTAGAAGGGAGAGAGTCAAGGAAATAGTAAGGTGAAGAACTAGGACAATGTGAATGAACTCTGGGTTTACTAGAACTTTTGAGTGACCAGGTCCCCTCTTTTATATTTTTTAATTTTATTTCTCTCAATTAAAAAATTTCCTCTTATAACAAAAGCATTATGTTGTCAGCTTCAGGGAAATCAGACAAACCAACAGAACAGAAAGTCACAGTTCCAGTTACCCAGAGATAACCAGCTACCCAGAGATAATCTATTTTTGTGCCTTTTTTTGCTTTTATATGTGTGTGTATATTAATACATGTTTTTTAAAAACAAATTTGTGACCATAGTATTCAGACTCTTTGTAACCTGTTTCTGTCACTTAATATGAGTGTCAGTACATGTTAAGACATGTATTTCTGCAATCGCCTTTTATGGCTACATGCTGTTATTTGGATTTGCCATAGTTGCTTTAATACAATCATTTATTATTGGATATTTAGGATGTTTCAGCTTTTCAAAATTACTCAGAGTGCTATCATGACATCCCAAAACATGTATTTTTGTGTTGATAACAGATTATTTCCTTAGCATAAGTTTTGAGAGTGGAACTGCTTGGTCAAAGGGGATTTTAAACACTTTTGAGGTGTACTGCCACATTATCTTCCAGAAAGATCATGTCTGTTTATATTTTCTCTAGTAGTAGGTATATACACCTCTTTATTTCTCTTTCACTGTGTATGATGCTGAGGGAGATATAAGGAGATAGTAAATATTATCTCTGTTTGTCAAGAGATTATATAGCCTAGTAGAGAATATTTCTGAACGCCCCTTTTCCCCCTTTTGTACGGTGTGTTGTACCTTCAGACTCAGAAGGAAAATTTGTTTAAAATGGGAATTAAAATAATGAGTGATCATTTGTGTATATGTTTCACATTTGGCAGAAATGCTCCAGCATCCTCAGGCCACAAAATTATAATCTTTCAATTTGCAAGCCCTATTTTCTCTAATTAAAGAGTTTCTAGTCTCTGGCACCTTTCATTCCTGCCCCCCCACCCCCACCCCCATATTGTTTCTTCTGCCTGAAGGATAGGCCTGTTCCCAAAGAGTTTTCCTGTGAACCCCACTGGTTCTTCAGATACCTTTTCTTTCATGAAGGGTGCGTTATTTAGCATCCCCACTCCTCAAATCCAAAAACAGACCCCAGTGTAATTTTTGTTTTCCCTTTGAACCTGCATCATACTTGCCTTGAGTCTTCCATAGGGCCCTCGTATTTTACTTTAGGGTACAAGTGATTGTTGACCTATCTTATGCTGTTTCCCATGCAATGAAATGTAAGGTTACCGTGGGTAGGGGTAATTACATTCATGTTGTACCCCTCCTACTGCATATGTTCTTCTCACACATAGTTTAGTAAAATATCAGTAAATATTTGTTGTATGAGTAACTCAATTTACAAACCAGAGTATAGCGTTTGGAACCTTAACAATAGCGACACCTGGTGTTTATTAACTTTTTGAATGCAGTCACAGCTCATTTCATCCTTACAATCACCCTTTGAGTAATTTGCTAACCAGCAATGTTGAATGAAGTCCAGGGATATTTGGAGGCAGAGTTCAGGTCTCCTGATTATCAGTTTACTGTTCTTTCCACAAGTGGGTGCTATTGGGTAAAGTCTCTTCAAAGTGAGCTGATCTTAATGGACTTTAATGGGCCACTCTTGAATGAGAATTTAACTGGATATTAAAAACCCAGAAGGACTATTGCAGTATTTTGTATATAATTATACATTAAGGATCTATATCAGTGAGACAAGCCTGAATAGGTGCTGTATAAATCTCTTAGGGGTCTCTGGATTATTATTTGGGCCAGAGGTAGGGATTATTATGTTTAATGTAGGCAGAAAGAAAGATGATAGTAAAAGATAATTAACTAGTAATCAAAGCAGTTCATCAGTGGGATAGCCTTTGGAAAGTAGGGAGTGCCCCATGATTGTAAGTGTCAAAAGCAAGGGAGTGTCGTTGAATCCATTGTTTTAGGTTGGAAGCTGGATAAAATGACTTTTAAGGTCCCTTACAGATAACAACTATGATAAATTATATTTTTAGAGTTTTAGCCCAGAAACACAAAAGTTGCAAGATATTTGTAATTTTTTCTTTTGATGACATTCTTAGTCTTTAAAATTAATGTCATTTGTTCAAAGTCACTTTTATAGAATGGACAATTAATTTAAAAAAGAGACAGCAAAGATCAGAGGAACTGAAGATTTCTTTGGTCTAACTTGAATTTAGTGCAGTCAAATGTAGGGAAGGTGTTTCATCTTGTTAAAATATCTAAGTAGATAGAAGCAGTTTGACTTTTGTTCCTTTTGTTTGAAGCCATCAAGCCAGTGTGCAGGTAGAGTCATTGCAGGAACAACTGAATGTGGTCTCCAGGCAGAGGGATGAGACAGCCCTGCAGCTTTCCGTTTCACAGGAACAAGTAAAGCAGTATGCGCTGTCACTAGCCAACCTGCAGATGGTACTAGAGCATTTCCAGCAAGGTAAGTGGTACAGCTAGTCTTGTAGTGAAAGCATTATAGTTGGGACTTTTGCTCTATTTGAGTGCTGTTTCAGATCAGGCATGGGGAAATCTTTGAAAGGTTACCCATGTGTAGGGGGAAAAGGTAAGTGTCCATTGGGAAGTTAATTAATTATTATTTTTTTTAAATTAAATTCTATTTTTGAAAATATTTTTATTTTTTAATTTTCTGTTGTGCTTTAGGTGAACGTTTACAGACCAGATTAGTTCCCCATTCAGTAGTTTGTACATAAAATGTTGCATGGCGTTGGTTGCATTCCCCTCAGTGTGTCAGCACTCTCCGCATTTCCGCCCTGGGGTTCCCGTTTCCTTTCGTCCAGATTTTCTGCCCCTTCCTGCCTTCTCATCTTTGCTTTGGGGCAGATGTTGTCCTTTTGGTCTCATGTAATTGATTGTTCTAAGGAACACATCCCTCTCGGGTGTTATTGTTTATTTTATGGAGAAGTTAGTTTAGACTGCTTTTATAATTAAGCCTAGAGAACATAAACCAGATTTAGTAATTATTAAAACTTTGTTTTAGCCTCATTACCAGTTAATTGTAAGAGTTGGAGAAATAAAAAGGTAAAATAAAAAAGGCTAATCAAGTGATAAAGAGGTGAATACCATGAAAAGAGAGAGACACACGAGAAGAGAGAGACACACACATAGAAAGATGGTTTGGTTTGAAGATATTGGTTGGAAGTTCAGCCCATTTCTGAGTGTTAATAAGTAGTTACTGTCCTTTGAAATACTGATCAGCTTGCTCTTAACTCTTCATCTATACTCTGAAGTAATTGCATTTTCTAATCCAGGTTGAAAAAAACTTTTCTGGAGTTACAGTAACAGTGACTAGAGCGGTTTTACCTTGAGAACCAGATAAGCTTTTCCACTCCTACCTTCCCATCCTCACATTTACCTCCTTTAGACCATTCACCCATCCATTTATTTATTCGTACATTCGGTAATTATTAAGGTCTCTTAGCTAGGCAGAGCCCTGGTGGCGCAGTGGTTAAGAACTACAGTCAAGTATGGCTGCTAACCAGAAGATTCGCAGTTCGAATCTACCACCCGCTCCTTGGAAACCCTATAGGGCAGTTTCAGCTCTGTCCTGTAGGATCGCTGTGAGTTGGAATCAACTCAATGGCAACAGCTCGCCTCTCTTAGCTAGGCATTGAATTAACTGCTAGTGGAGGGTGATGAGGGAATATGAAGATAAGGAAGTAACAGGAGTTTATAGGTTCCTGCTTAAGCAAAACTAAATTTGTACGTGTTGTAGACCTTCAAGGTTACTGATGTGGTTGAAATTTTGAATTTTAAATGTAACAGTTCTCTGGGTCTGCTCTACAAAATGTCAATAACTAGAATGACATGTCTACAAAGTAGTATGGGACTGAGACCCTAGAGGAAACATTGTCAGAGAGGAAATATTTCAGTGTCATTCTGAAGGGAGAGGAGAATTTGCAAGATGGACAAGATGGAGAAGGATTTAGGCAGAGGAAACAGTGATCTCAGTACTTTAATTCCACTTAACGTTACCGTAAGACATGTATAATTTTCTTGTTAAAGAAACATTTGATTTAGGTGAAGCTTTATTCTAGTTGCTTTCTGTGGAATGATACATTTTGAGTGAGTAATTTTCTTGACAAGAAAAAATGTATACAGATCTCCTTGCAATTAATTCCCAGTGTTCACATTTTAAAACTAGACTGTGGAATTTCTACAGATTGATATTAAATGGAGCTCATGGTCCATTTATCTGTTAGATGTGCTGTAACCAAAGCCACGTTTGTCTTTTAAACACTGTTTTAAAGTTCTCCATATAAATGCCTGTTGCTGATGGCACAGGAAGACACCTCAAGCACAGTCTAGCCGTTTTGCTACTGCCTTTTTCACATGTAGTCACCTTCTGTTTGCACACTTCTCTTCCCCGAGTCTGTGCTGGCAGTGCTGTGAAGGTCCTGCTCGGTGTCTGTAGTACAAAGAATGAGCGGTGCTGCTCCTTGTTCAGTTGTGCTTCAGTATTTTAATGGCTATGGAAGTAAAATACATAAATACCTAAACCTGCGACTTTAACAACTGTACTACAACCTTTTGAATTAGTTATGTGTATAGATAATTAAATTCTTCATATAAAAGTTAAAAAAAGAAAAACATTTGAACTATTTTTTGTTGAATTATTAAAATGTCAAGTGGTTTAAAATTTTTCAGTTATATCACAATTGCAGAATAGTAACGTAACTTTTTTTTTCTCTTTAGAGGAAAAAGCTATGTATTCTGCTGAGCTAGAAAAACAAAAACAGCTTGTAGCTGAATGGAAGAAAAAGGCAGAAAACGTGGAAGGAAAACTGATATCATTACAGGTAGGCTGAAAGAATTTTTTCTTGTCAGTTCTATTATTCATGAAACAATTACTTGTAGACTCTTCGTCTTGGAAATAATCTCCTAAACCATTCATTCAGTATATATTGTTTGAGCGGCTGCTCTACATTCAGCCTAATGTTGGGGCATAACACTGAGCAAGATACGTAAGATTTCCCTCCTGTAATTTACAGTCTAGCGTAGACACAGTCAATAAGAGATGATAAGCTGTTTTAATTTTTTAAGCATACATGGGTGTTTTAGAGTTCTCTGAGACAAACTCAAATATTCTAAAGTTTTAACTTTATAATTAATTTTTTCAACAAAATATATTGAGCACTGTATTTTGCATGGGTTGAAATAATTTATTAAGTCTTTTTCTTTGCAGCATCACTCTCTAAAATATTTTTTTTCTTTATTATCAAGTCATAAATAAACTCTGGCAATAGTGGTGGAAAATAAGAAAATTTACTTATCTGTCATTCCTGGTGAATAAGATATTCAGGAACACTAATATCCCAAATAAGTGAAGACATATTTCCTTTAGAGCTTGTAAATTTTTATTAAATATTGAATGGCTATAAAACAATGCTTAGATAATATGTATAAAATGTAAGAATAGTAATAAAGCAAATACCCACGTACTCACCACCTGATAGAAGAACTAGAATGTTACCCTTTGAAGTTCTCTGTGTGCCCCTCCATTTCTCATACCCTTCCTACCACCTTTTAGATAACCACTGCTCCAAAATTTTGTTTGTTACCTGCTTGCTTTTCTTTTTTAGATTTTTTTTTATTGTACTTTAGATGAAGGTTTACAGAACAAATAGTTTCTCATTAAACAGTCAGTACACATATTGTTTTATGACATAGGTTAACAAC